GAAATGTATCAATGAATAATAAATGCATATTGAGAGACAAGTCTGAAGCAGACTCCTCTTCTGGAAGTTGTATCATTATCCATGGAGGACAAAAAAGGGGTACTTTAATAGAAAATACTAAGATGACTAATCATAGTGAATATTCCAACCCTAGTGAGCATAATTCAGTTGTGAAAAAAGATGTAGAAAGTGAAACTGATCGTCATATACAAACTCCTTCCCCTAGAATTGTTGATGCTAAGTTCCAGAGACGTGGGACGTATAATATAATGGAAAACAAAGGTGAAAGTTCAGATAAGGCTATTCCAGCCAATAATAACTTCCCTGAAGTCAAGCATGTTGTATCCTGGGAAATTGATGAAAATCTACATGAGAATGACATTCTTCAAATAAGTCAGAAACATAATCAGTCAGAGACAATTTTAAAATATCCTGACACAACTGGTGTAAATAATGGAGAAGGTGTAACTTCTGAAATATTGAGAAGCCCTAAGCATAAACAGCTCTTCCCAGCTGGAAATCAACATTTTCCACTGAATCCAGAGGTCAGAGGAGATGAACAAGACCACACAGCTTCCAATCTGTCCAATGGTATGGATAACCTGTTACATTCCAGAAATTCAGATTCTGAGCAAAACAGACATTTACATTCTTTGGATATGCACAACCAGCATGCTAGCAGCAGTTCTTCGGATGATGGATCCATCTTCAGTTTCAGCCTTTCCAATTCTTTGTCAGATACCTCTGAGTTTATTGACATAAATAGTGAGGATGAAGTGCGTGACACTCAGCCACATATCAATGATTTGGGAGAAGAACTGAATGTAAAGTCGTCACAGTCCCCTTGTGAATATACCAGTATGAGTGCTAGTGATCTCAGCACGTCTACAGTTTCAAAGAAAAATATAGCTTCTCCAGCTGAAATTGAGAATACTGATTTTGTTCTGAACGAAGGCCCAACTAATGAGGGTACTGCCCCCATATCCCAATCAAGTCAGGGCAATGAAAACAACTTCTCCAAATGGGATTTGCAGGACAGTGCATCTAATAAATGTCATGAAAACAACAAAGAACGTACTTTGGAGACAGCTGAGCCTAGGACAACAAACTCTCAAATGTATATCACAAGGTCAGGAGGAATCAGTAATGACAAAACAACCGTTAATCACAGTCCATGTTTAATTTTACAGAAGCAGTCAGAGACAACAAAGACGGATCAATGCACAAGTGGTACATCACTCAGTATCTCTGATAAAAGTGAGAATGCCAGTGACATCATTGATGTTGCTAGGACACAGCAATGTACGCAAACCCAACATTCTGACATTACAGCTGCTGCTAATGATTCATATAAAAGAGAAGCTGTGCTTCATTGGTTGAAAACTTCTACAAGTGACGATGTTGCAGCCCAAGCAACATATCTTGGAGATCTGACTTCTGAGGATGAGGGTTCTTTGGAATTTAACTCACAAAAGAACAAGAGAAGGGCCTCCCTAGATCGAATTTCACAAGTGAGCAAGGAGGACAACTTAATGGGTCTTGCCCCAGAGGAAATTAAGGATTTTAAATCCTATGAAAGGAAACCAACACAAAAATCTTCTGACATGGATGATCACCTAAGTGGGTTTGACAAATTCTATAAAAAACATGAATATAGGGAACATGATTTTAATGAAATTAATGCAAACACACCTGTTATATGTTTGGACACAAACATTAACGGAGGGACCACATCTCTTCCTCTTAGCATGAACATGTGGCCTTCTTCTAAAGTGTCAGGAAATCCTGGGGGTTACTTTATAAAAAGGAAAAAAGTTTTTGATGCTTTTTCTGCATCCCTGAAGAATGGACAGAATATAAATTAACAGGTTTCCAATAAAAATAAAAAAATACAAAAAAAACAGAAACGTAAGGGTTAAATATTAGCACAAACAAATATGTCTGAATGTACCTAGAAACAGATGCAGAAATGTGATGCATTTATAGTACATGTATGATATTTTATATAACAGTGTAATATATGGTCAAGAAAACAAAAAAATATGAGAAATAAAGTATGTCTAAACTAGCGGAAACTGCAAAACTTCCAGTCACTAGGACATTTGCCAAACCATGAGCTTAATTTAATGTTTTTAGATAAGAATTTCAAATGATTTAATATTTAGAAAAATATTTTGTATTGATATAATATATTTATATATGGAAGACAGGGCCTGAAGTTGTGGGAGGGGCTTGGTCCCCCCTCTTAAGGAGCACCAGCCCTGCACTCACTACCATCTCAGGTCTGGAGATTTGCATACCCTACCTTCCGGTCCGTGCAAATCGCCATTTTCTATTCTGAAAACTTGTGGAAAAACTTACCTGGTCCTGCAGCTCCTGGTCAGCTCGCACGCTGGTTCCTGACTCCGCGGAGACTCAGCAGGTCTTCCTTACCTCGCCAACCACCCTCCGACTGGTGCCAATTTGAATCCAGACCGTAAGTCAAGGCTGCCCGTCGTGCCGCTGTCGCGGTCGCTTCGCGTCATCCTGGGCTGGCCCTATGATTATTACATGCTTCTCCGTTCATGTTTTTTGTTTGTATGATTCATGGCATTTGAACGCTTAGGTTATTCATTTGGTCAGAATCACTCAGTTTGACGGGCTTTCGGGAGCAGACGCAGGAATGCTTTGTTCAAGCACACAAACTAACCTCATTCGTATGGTTTCGTTAAATTGATAGTGTTCGGTTGAATGCACACATAGCTCTTCTAACAGGCCGTTCATATATTTTACAGGACACTCTAGTTCGGGATTTGTAAAACTGCCGATTAGTTAATTTTAATTTGCATTTATGTTGGTTATATCGACCTCTGGTGGTCAGACTAGTTATTACTTATTGTATTATGTGAAGCCAAGTAAGGCTAAGTATTGTATTGGTATGGGTAGTTCAGATAGGAACAGGAATTTTTCTGCTCGGCTCATGATCTGATTTCCATGCTGTTACATATGTTTCTGTTCCACGAAACGTTCTGAATTTCAAAATTGCCTTCACTCCAGACATTCTCTTTACGCTGAAATACAGGTTCCACTTTACTGTCTCTAGTACATAGATATCTAAACACGTATGTTATATACATATACCATTTTGAAGTGTTCAAATGTTCTACATTATGTGTATGGAGCATAGATTAGGTGTTTGGGCGATTTAAAGCCTATAAGTGATTATAGACAGGGCCGTCTTTAATATGGATTGGACCCTGGGCAAACATTTGCTTGGGCCCCCTGAACCCGGTCTTCCCCTCCCTGGCATGCAATCATGCCCCCCACCCCAACGCAGAGGCGGACGTAAAGTAGAGAGGGCTCTGGTGCATGAATTATTTTGGGTAAGAGGGGGCAAAAGGTAGATCCCCATCTGTCATGCAACTCCAACAATGCTTTGACAGCTGGGGCGCTACCATTTTCCTATGCATGCAGGGTTATATTTAGCACTGAGCAGTATTTGTGTGTTTTGAGTGTAAGCATGTTTTTGTATGGAGTATGTTTGTGTGAATGTATGGGTGTGTTTGTATGTGGAGATGGAATTTAAATGCAAGTATGCATTTATGTGTAGTGTTGGTTTATGAATACACTGGTGTGTTTATATATAATTTTGTTGTTTAAAAAAAGAGGTGTGTTTATATGTAGTGTTGAAGTTTGAATGCAGGTGTGTATTTGCGTGTAGTGTTGAATGCTGAAATGTATGCACAAATACACATGCACTGTCACAAACACACACACACACACACACTGTGATACACATACACACACAGAAACACTTGCAGATACACAGATATACACAATCATACAGATGCAGCTATACAGACACATTTACACACACTGACACACACACATACAGACACACAACCTGGCACACATGCAGACACACAGATGCACACACGCACACACACGCAGATACACTGACAACATACAGATACACAGACAAACACAAAAACAACATACAGACACACAGATACATTACCTGACAAATGCAGATACAAACACTGACACACATGCAGATACACACATTGGCTACATACAGATACATGCACAGGTATACACACTGGCACACACACAGATACATACATACTGACAACATACAGATACACACTGACACACACACACACTGTGACAGACATACATACTGACACATACACAGACATACTGACACACACACAGACATACATACTGACACACACATAGACATACAAACTGACACACACACAGACATGCAAACTGACACACACACAGACATACAAACTGACACACAGACATATACTGACTGACACACACAAAGACATACATACTGACACACACACAGACATACAAACTGACACACACAGACATACAAACTGACACACAGACATATACTGACTGACACATACATACTGACACTCACACAGACATATTGACACACACACAGACATATATACTGACACACACACAGACATACAAACTGACACACAGACATATACTGACTGACACATACATACTGACACTCACACAGACATACTGACACTCACACAGACATACAAACTGACACACAGACATACTGACTGACACATACATACTGACACACACACAGACATACTGACACACACACACAGACATATACTGACTGACACATACATACTGACACTCACACAGACATACTGACACACACAAAGACATACATACTGACACACACACAAAGACATACATACTGACACACACACATACATACAAACTGACACACAGACAGACATACAAACTGACACACAGACATATACTGACTGACACATACATACTGACACTCACACAGACATACTGACACACACAAAGACATACATACTGACACACACACAGACATACATACTGACACACACACAGACATACAAACACACACAGTGACATACCTGACACACACAAAGACATACATACTGACACACACACACACAAAGACATACATACTGACACACACATACATACAAACCACACACAGACAGACATACAAACTGACACACAGACATATACTGACTGACACATACATACTGACACTCACACAGACATACTGACACACACAAAGACATACATACTGACACACACACAGACATACTGACACACACAAAGACATACATACTGACACACACACAAAGACATACATACTGACACACACACACACATACATACAAACTGACACACACACATACATACAAACTGACACACACATGACATACAAACTGACACACACACAGACATACAAACTGACACACAGACATATACTGACTGACACATACATACTGACACTCACACAGACATACTGACACACACAAAGACATACATACTGACACACACACACAGACATACATACTGACACACACACAGACATACAAACTGACACACAGACATATACTGACTGACACATACATACTGACACTCACACAGACATACTGACACACACAAAGACATACATACTGACACACACACAAAGACATACATACTGACACACACACATACATACAAACTGACACACAGACAGACATACAAACTGACACACAGACATATACTGACTGACACATACATACTGACACTCACACAGACATACTGACACACACAAAGACATACATACTGACACACACACAAAGACGTACATACTGACACACACACATACATACAAACTGACACACACATATACATACAAACTGACACACAGACAGACATACAAACTGACACACAGACATATACTGACTGACACATACATACTGACACTCACACAGACATACTGACACACACAAAGACATACATACTGACACACACACAGACATACATACTGACACACACACAGACATACTGATACACACAAAGACATACATACTGACACACACACAAAGACATACATACTGACACACACACAGACATACTGACACACACAAAGACATACATACTGACACACACACAAAGACATACATACTGACACACACACATACATACAAACTGACACACAGACATATACAGACTGACACATACATACAGACACACACACAGACATACTGACACACACACACAGCACATACATACTGGACACACACACACAAAGACATACATACCTCGACACACACACATACATGCCAACTGACACACACATATACATACAAACTGGACACACAGACAGACACATACAAACTGACATAGACATATACTCAGACTGACACATACATACCTGACACTGACACACACACACACACACACACAGACATACATACCGACACACACACATACAAACTGACACACACATAGACATACATACTGACACACACACAGACATACATACTGACACACACAGACATACATAGTGACACACACAAAGACATACATACTGACACACACACAGACATACATACTGACACACACACATACATACAAACTGACACACAGACATATACTGACTGACACATACAAACTGACACACACACAGACAGACACTCTTCAGTTTCCTACCTTTGAAAGAGGCTTCCTTCCCTGGGGTCCAGTGTGCTGGCTGGGGTAGTTGGGAGTTGGGGGTCTGGCTCTTCTTGCTCCCCCTCCTCACTGGATGCTGGCTCAGCAGCCTCCCGCGCGGCCCGATATCTTTGAGGTGGGAGGAAGTGATTCGCGGACGTCACTTCCTCCCATGCAGCCGTTAAGCAAGGGGCCCGGTCACGCTGTTAAAGGGCCACAGCGCCGACCGGACCCCTGCTGGAACATGCTCACTGGGTGGCCCTAAAGGTATGGGCCACCCGGTGGGCCCCCTTAGTGTGCGGGCCCCGGTGCAGCCGCAATACTAGCACCGCGGGCCCATTAGGTAGGGAAATATTTGTAAAAAATAAATTTTTATTGCAGGCGACGGGGCCCACGGGGCAGCTGCTTTGGGCCCCCCATGAGTAACTGGGCCCAGGGCAGCTGCCCCGTTTGCCCCTCCTTAAATTTTGGCAGCTGCCCCGTTTGCCCCTCCTGATTATAGACCTCTTATGTTTCAGTCTCAACTGCACCCACAGGGGGCTGCTACTCTACCACCTTTTTCATCTGGTATAGGTCAGTAATTTACGATTAATTGTCCACTTAGGGTCTTACAAGGCCTAGGTACTTATGTGTAATTTCTGCATTAGTAGGTTTAGGCCATCCTTGCAGCTTTTTGATTCTTTGGTTCCAGTCTCCTACATTTGGATAATTTACCGGTAGGTATCTTGTTAGCAGTGTGGAATTATATATTGATATAACACTGCAAAACTCACAATTACTCTCGTAGGTTACTACAGATCGCCTGTATCACCTTATCTGGCTACTTACTTTGCTCATCAGGTACGTCCTTTATTCACAATTTTTTCCCAACCTTCTTACCCCGTCAGGTTCATAGTCTAGTTATACACTGGCATTGGAGCATAGGAGCCTCTGGGTATGTTTTCTGGCCTTTTACGCCTTACGTTAGTGGTCCCGCGAGGCCATCTACCATCCTCATTTCGGAGGTACGACATTCCCTCGGGCCAATTCATAGTTAGCCGTCTCGCTTGGTTGCATAGAGAGGGCCTCACCTGTCACTCCCATTCTGTCTTTTGCTGTTACTTGTCACAGAGAGGCCAATACCCCGCCATAATGTCAATGGCCACGTACCCCACTCATGCCAATTCATAGGTAGTTCCTCTCACAGCCGCTTGGCAATTAGCAGGGCCTCACCCGTCACGTAACTACCTAATTGTTTTGCCGCTTGGCATTAGTTACGTCAGCCAGTTGGGTATTACCCCAGGTAACCTTCTATTTTGTTTTATAGCATGTCACAACTACCAGAAGGCGGGGAAGAACTGTCTATCCCTAGTACACCAGCTATATCAGTCACTCAATCCCGGGGTGGCGGCAATGCGAGCCCTTCATCCCTCAGGTCCTGGACCATTCCTAGGATCACCGCCGAATTGAGGAAAAGGAACATCCTATCAGGATTTCTGTATGATCCAGCACATAGAACTGTATAGCCTGGATGACAAATAAGTAACGTATTACCGGTCTTTAGAATGGCCAGATTTAACGTACATAGAATAGTCAAAATACTAGCCGAGGTCAGGGAACACAGAAAGGGATGCAACGATGAGGAAAGCCAGGAGTCAGGATACCAGAATACAGAGAAGTCAATAAGCAAAGCCAAAGTCAAAAACCAGTAGAAAACTATAAACAGGAACGCGCTCTCGGACAACAACATGGGAAACCACGACAGGGCACTGAGTGGAGGTCAGACTAGGTTTTTATATCCATCCTCCCTTTCCCATTGGTCAGCCCGGTATTTTGGCGTTTATTTCCGCCCGTGGATGTGCAACGGCCGGTGCCAGACTGTATGCTGAGACAGTCAGGACTGCAAGCTTCCGGCCGCTGAGCACCAGGTGAGGGAAAAGTGTCAGATGGATATGTGACACATCCCTTACCCAGCTACGGCTAGGAAAGCCGAATTTTATACACTTATGAATACTCAAACTGATAACACCGGGGTGGATGAAGTATCTAGATGCGGGCAGTCTTCTGATCTGCAGGCTGTATTGTCTTCAGTCCTGACCTACTTGGGTCGTATTACTGACAAGCTTGACAAAATGGACGCAGATAGCCAACAGCATTCGCTCACGGCTCTAGGTAATCCTGACACTACGGTTCTCCCCGGTCCTCTTCCTGGTAATATTCCAACTGGTCCTAGAGAACCACATATTATTAACCCGGCACACATGGTGCCTGCTAACCTTAAGAAGGACATCTTGGAAGGGAAGGATGTCAATCTGATATCATTGCTCATTGCCTCCCAAGATGTCCTTGAAAATAAGACATATGCATATGGGGACGTATCGGTGGTACTAAAAGCCAGGGACCCCAGGCTGAATCGTAAGCTATCCATCCCTGAATTCGTATTGGCTTTCGGGATCTACAGGGACGTATTATGCTCAGTGTATCCCTATAGGAAGGAAGAATTGGATCTCTACCTCCACAAGCTGGTGGATTTGGGGCACTCATTCCGTCAGAAGAATTTTCTCTACAATACATGATAATGCTATCACGGCCATCCTCTCAGCGGGGGTGGGTGCATGGCTTAGCAAAACGGACATAGTGAATGTGTTTAAGCTACTTCCTATTCATCCATCCCTGTGGCATTTACATGGTGTTAAATGGCAAGGGGCATACTATTTTTTCACACGTCTCACATTCGGTTCTAAGAGCAGCCCAAGAACTTTTGATATGTTTGCCGAGATGTTGTGTTGGATACTGCTTAACACCTGTAGATGCCCTACCATTATTCATTACCTGGATGATTTTCTTTCCATAGTCATCAACTTCTTGGGGGTGGTGCTGGACTCTGTACATATGCAGGCTAGCCTCCCCAGGGAGAAGATCGAACGCACCCTGTCTGCCATTGACCTTCACCTAGCAGGGCAGTCATGTAATAGGAAGGAGTTGCAATCCCTGTTGGGTTCACTTAATTTTGCAATGAAAATTATACCCCAAGGGCGGGCTTTCATATCCCGGCTGCTTAGCTTATTTCCCCTTTTACAGTCCGATTCCTCCCGCATAACGTTAGACGAACATGCCACCGCTGACTTACGTATGTGGAGGGAATTCTTGCTGCACTGGAATGGAAAGAGCATTTTGTTCCTGTATTGACGGACAAGTCTGTATCTATCTGGACAGATGCCGCGGCCAGTTCCGGATTTGCCGCTATTTTTGGCAATGAATGGACGTGGGGCATCTGGCCGGAGGAAGTTGCTGAGATCCCAGAGTTCAAGGACACATCCGCTTTATTTAAGCTTTACCCTATTGTAGCAGCGTCAGTTAGATGGGGAGCTTGCTGGTCGGGTAATACAGTGTGTTGCTTCTCGGACAACATGGCAACATGCCAAATTGTAAATAAGGGACATTCCTCTTCCCTGGCCATCATGCGATTTATAAGCAATCTCACGTGACAAGCGGCAAAACACAGTTTTTTCCTAACTTACATAAATGTTCCTGGGGTTCTGAATATTGGTGCTGATCATTTATCACGATCTCATTTTTAGGAGTTCCGGGCGACGCTACCCACAGCTGCCATAACACCAACTCCAGTCAGGGGCGTATTAGCCGAGAGGCAAACAAGGCATTTGCCTTGGGCGGCATTTTTCAGGGGGCGGCAAAAAACGCCGCCCCCCAAATGCCCAGGGCAAATGCTTGGTTAGCCTTGCGGCTAACTGACATCCCGAGCGGGCGGGCGGCGCTGGCTGCTGTGCGGGCGGCGCTGGCTGCTGTGCGGGCGGCTGGCGAGGGAGCACTTCCTATGAGCTGACTGCTCAGTTCCCTCGCGCGCCGCACAGTGAGGCTGGGAGCCGGATGATGACGTCATCTTCCGGCTCCCAGCCTCACTCTGCAGCCGGCGCGCGAGGGAGCTGAGCAGTCAGCTCATAGGAAGTGCTCCCTCGCCAGCCGCCCGCCTGACCTGCAGCCACCGGACCACCAGGGATAGAGCCCCCCCCCCCAGCACTCCCAAAGGTAAGGAGGTTGGGGGGGATTTAAATTAAAAAAAAAAGTTAATGTGTGTGTGTGTCTGACTGTGTGTGTGTGTTTGACTGTTTGTGAGTGTGTGTGTGTTTGTGTCTGACTGTGTGTGTGTTGTGTGTCTGACTGTGTCTGTGTATGTGTCTGACTGTGTGTGTGTTTGTGTTTGTGTCTGACTGTTTGTGTCTGACTGTGTGTGTGTGTTGTGTTTGTGTCTGACTGTGTTTGTGTGTGTGTGTGTCTGTGTGTGTGTTTGTGTCTGACTGTGTGTGTGTGTGTTTGTGTCTGACTGTGTGTGTTTGTGTCTGACTGTGTGTGTTTGTGTCTGACTGTGTGTGTGTGTGTGTTGTGTCTGACTGTTTGTGAGTGTGTGTGTGTCTCTGACTGTGTGTGTGTTTTGTGTGTCTCTGACTGTGTATGTGTGTGTGTGTTTGTGGTTCACCGTGTTTGTGTCTGTGTATGTGTCTGACTGTGTGTGTGTGTGTGTGTGTGTGTGTATGTGTCTGACTGTGTGTGTGTGTATGTGTCTGACTGTGTGTGTGTGTGTTTGTGTCTGACTGTGTGTGTGTGTATTTAGAAGGTGGGGCAGGGGGAAGGGATGGGGGGGGGGGGCGCCTGAGTTTTGTCCTGCCTAGGGCAGCACAAAACCAGGATACACCACTGACTCCAGTACTGAGGTGGCAGGAGATGGTCTTGGATTAAATAAGCTACTCACTCACGGGTATCACCTCTCACAACTAGGTCTTTCTTTTAACACCAGAAAGGCTTATGGCAGGGCTTTTCATATTTTTAATAGATTTGTGCTTGACTTCAACATCTCAGACAAATTTTCCATGGAAACAATGATTGCGTTCATTTCCTTTTGCCACCTTCACCTAAAACTATCCCTCAACACCATTAAATTATATATCACTGGTATTCAACACCATATCCTCACCACTTGGCCTAATAAACAACGTTTCCTGTCCTCTTACCAAGTAAAGGCCATACTTAAAGGTATCAAGGACTCCACCCCTGCACCCACGCCATCCAGATTACCTATCCACGATCTCCTATTCCAGTCACTGTCAAACCTTTTAGATACCTCACCATTTGAAACAAACACAAACCAGGTCATGAAAACAGTCATCTATTTGGCGTTTTATGGGTTCCTTCGGCCCAAAGAGTTTACCACCACTAATTACAACACCCCCAACTTCTTCACAAGGTCCAACCTGGTAAAAACACATGATCACTATTTACTGTCCCTACATCATACAAAAACTAGTGTGAATGGACAGACGGTCACTATTACCTATTACCCTCCTGGTAATAAATGATGCCCCGTGAAAGTCTTCGACCAATACCTTTCTTCCATTTCAATAGCACCACATCAACCATTGCTAGCATTACACGGTAATACCCTCACTATCAGTAAGTTCATGCTCTATGTAAGAACGTTGTTAGTAAGGTTGGGACTAAATCCGGCCAAATATTCCGCTCACTCATTTCGAATAGGAGCGGCTACTACGGCTTCAAAGAGGAATATTCCTGCGTACATCATTAAAATATTGGGCCGGTGGAAGTCCACAGCTTACACCAGATACATACCCCAGCCAGTTCAGGAAGTACGCCTAGCATTCAAGAATATGATTGTGTGATAATCTTATGGTGTTTTGTAGGCTGAATAAACTGGTTACATCTTTTTTGCCCTCTTTTATTTCAGATAGAAAAAGGGGTTTGGGGCTGCGCTGTTGGATAATCCACTGAAAATCAATAAATATAAATATAAAACATATGTATATAAGTACTAAAAACTGATAAAAGTAATGTCCGTACAGATTTATCAATAAAAATAGATAAAAAGTAGAGAAATTCCAAATGGAGTAAAATGAAGAAAAAACAGTCTCACTGATATCAGGTATGATTTTGGTCCTCGGGGATGATTTCGTCTGGGTTAGAAATCGTCCGTTTATGTGAAAATAAGAAACACAAAAAGAACTGCTGATAGTGAAGTATTGTAGATCCAAGGATAAAAATTAAATCAGAATCAGGATTTGGAACAAACATTTGATGGAGCTAAGTCCAGCTCTGAGATGGAGGGCACTTAGTGGTATAATCCCCACTTCAGGATATACTGGGATGGTTGGTCCGTCCGTCCGACTTGGGTTCCGTCAAATCCCACAGGATATAGGAAACAGCAAATAGTGCTCTCAGTAGGAACAATTGGAAATAAAATAAAATAAATGAAATAATACTCACAGAAATAGAGCAGGAAATACTGCTCTATTATCACAGCGCTGGTGGAATTATCCCCACCTATGGATTTCTTTGCTGTAGTTTTGACCGACTCTTGTATGAGAGACGCTTGATAGTATGTTCCCCACTGGTAGGTATGCTGGAGGGATAGGTCCGTCTGTTCGGCTGGGTTCCGTCGGATTCCACAGAACGTATAAAACAGTAATAGTGCTCTCAGTAAGAACAAAATGGGGTAAGTAAATTAAAATAAGATATACTTACAAAAAAAGAGCAGATGGATACTGCTCTATTATCACAGCGTGGGTAGAATTATCCCCACCTAAGGATTTCCTTAAGACAGGATACAATAAAAAATAGTGAAAAATATTTTTAAAAAGTTAAATAAAAAAATAAAATTATAAAATGCCAGGAAAAGTACTAGAAAAAAGTGTATATAAGTACAATAAAATGAGTAAAAGATTGGTCCTACAAAAGAGGTAACCAAAAATAACTTATATTGCTTTAAAATACACTATTTAAAACCATTAACGCGTTTCACCTATGAGGTTTTTTCAAAATGGTAATAGAACAATATACTTGGCATAAAACAGTATTTATAAGGATACACAGAGGTTGAATTTGGCGCCAAAATTTTTTTGCACCAATTAGAAGCAAGAATTAAAACAAACATATTTTACAGGTTCAAAACAGATAAAAAACTACTTTTATACATAAAATTAGCTTTCATAAAGTATAAAATATATTTATTTGTATAAAACAAAGCAATGTTTGCTTGTTTATGTATTAACTTAATTCATTTAAGTTACTTTCCATCACATTCTTATTTAAAATATTGTAGATAGTATTTCAAAAGTGTCTGTGTTCTACAAGATCTATTGGGAGTTGCGTAGCATGCATTCTCTTGATTGGAGAGGACAGAACATCTCTGTTATTGGGGCCTGTTTTGACTTGTATCTCAAACCCAACAATCTGTTGTGATTTGCTGCCAGAAGTGAGAGGATTTTGCAGTCAGAGGCCTAGATGGATTGGGAGGGAATGGGCATCTGTGTTTTTACTTTCCAATACCATAAGCACTACCTTTGTAGGGTTTTTGGCATCAAGGGCATTTCTTCTGCCTTCTTGTCAATCGGTCTTTTATGCAGAACACAAAATATTATTTTTTGTTGACATTCTTTTCACAGTCTGTGATCATAGCATTCTCCTGCCAGGATTTATAGTAGAAAAAATAATGAAAACACTGTACGTTATTTGCATGGAGCACCTTGCTCTCTGTATTTTTCCAGCAAAGAAAAAGTCCTGTCAAATCTGAATGGATTGGAAATGCCTGGATATATTTTAAGCCGCTGTGAAACATGACATTTTCTAATTCTTTAGGCTTTTTTTTCCTTCATCTTACTGACTTCACCAAATCTTCCAGCTCTTCAAATGGAAATGCATAGCAGGCTTTTTTGAATGTCTTCCTTTGAGAGTGGACACCGTATTCCTAATCTGATTCAATAAGAAAAGATTCTGAGTGAATTAATTTAGAATGATTTGTACCCCTGGCTGCTCTCAGGAAATTAACCATGTTGGTCATTTTTCAGAAACGTCCTACTGAAATAATTCTTTGCATAGTCACTTGCTGTATCTCTCAGGGAGTTTTATTTCATATAGAGCACACAGTGGTCTTGTGGATTAGTGTGAATGTTTTGTTGCTCTTCAGAAAATTCCAAAGAAGAAACTATTCCTCACAAAAATAGAAAGATAACTTTAAAATGCTTTCAAGGTTAAGTGTAAGCATCAACATCACTTCAGTTTAATGAAGTTGTTTTGGTGCATAGATAATGACCATGCAGTCTTGCTGCTCAATGCTTTGCTGATTATGAGGTTAATTACTTTTAGCAGCTGAAGCCACAACTCTCCTGGCTGTCACTCACAGAGCCTCCTTTCATCCTTCCCGAAAATATATATCCATTTAGACCTTTGGCACACATGCCTATGCCACAAGCTCCCGAAGGAGCATGTTAGCTAGACTCCTGTCCCAATCTTTATTCAGAGGCCATTTGAGCTGGACCCCTGGCAGTTTTTACTTTCCAAACCCCAAGAAGATATGACCCAACAATAGCAGAAACTATGTAATAAAATAACTTTGGCTGCGAGGAGAGTCCTGGTGGCTCGCTGGTTGCAATCCCCCTCCCGTCAATAGGAGAGATTAGAGCCAAGATAGAGGACCACCGCTTAATGGACCAACTAACAGCAACACTACATAACTCCCTCCCATTGTTTTATAAGGTGTGGGAACCCTGGCACAAATATTAAGATAGAGTATAATGTCTCTCTTCCGGCGATGTCCTCGCCACTCTGATTCCAGCTGGTGCCCCTACGAGCCACTGAGGTTCACATAACCAGTTGAGGATTCTTAGGGGGGGGTGTCATGAGGATTAAGGGCTCTTGAGAGTGGAGGAATGAGGGTTCAGGGGAGCTGGGAGGGATCATGCCCCCATGCACAGTAAACAGAATCCCTAATCCCCCCCCCCCTGTTGAGTTGATTTCCGAGAGTACAAGAGCACCCACACATCGATCAGTAATCCCAGGCCCCACAAACAGAGACCCTGAACTGGGCTGACAGCAGTTACTTTGAGACCCTCACTGGTAACCATTACAACCCCCATCCATACTCACATTGCTTTCTCTGTGTTCTCTATGTTCTGTTACCTTTCTGTTCTACACTATTTTTGTTCATCTTTATGGCCAATACCTGTCATTCCAACCATGGTTATCCTAGGCAAGGCACAAAAGACATACTTAAGCAGATGTTTTTCATCTATTCACACTCGCCATCAATCAGAGGGTATTGTTGGATCAGTTTATCTCCATATATTGGTATTTGGTTTTCTACTACTGTTAAGTTATTTTTATATGTTACAAATAAAACCTTGTCGTCAGATTATAAGCTTCATTCTGCCTTTCTGGGACTCCACTGCGTAAGATACAGCTACACTGGATTTAGTCCATTGTTCACTGTACTGGCATGACATCTGCTGTGATCATTTCATAAATGCTTTGTACGATGTGTTTTGATCTCTGTATGACGGCAATTTAAAATAAAGAATTTAAAGCTAAAAACTTTGGACCATATCCGGAGACCCTGTTAGTGAGTAAACCTGCCCAGCCTCCCCGAGAGACTTATTCTTGGTTCCCCTGGTTCAGTACCTTTCCTCTCCCTAATTTACCTGACTGCTCGCGCCCTGGTAGTCATTCGGATGTATGAACCCGTAAACAGGCTTCAGTGTTACTTAGCCACGACCGCTATGGAACCCTTTTCAGCTATGTAACTTTGCAGTGTAATGATCCCCTTGCTGACCTGTCAGGAGAGCACTTTTTGGAGGGAAGGTGCCTGAGACTGTGTGGAACAATCGGTCCCTGAGAGCCAGGAGGAACCCCCGACAGATGAACGGCCAAAGCTCTAATCGCTCTGGAACTCTTTTGAGCATGGACTACGTGTGTGGCAGGTCAAAACTTTACCCTGGTGGCGTTTGGTCAACTTTCCATGGATCCGGGCACTACTTGAACAGATTTGGCCTTTGGAAGCAAGCTATCCAGATAGGGGTTGCTTTATTGTATTTTGTGTAATTTTGTATGTTTACCCTCTGTATCCAGGAGATAATTGGTTTACCGATTATGAATGCAATTATCTCCCGGACACAGAGACACCTAGGCGGGGTTATGTGGAATACAAAGGAGAACCCATGCTTGGGGGGGGGGGGGAGGAATAAATTCTGTGTGCCTTGCCTGAATAAAGCAGTTCTACTTCACCCTTCACCAAGTCTCAGTGCTTGGGTGAGATAGCTATACTCTCTCTACAGGAGAGCGTAATCACTCGGAGCTATAATACAGGATCCTGTTTCAGGGTGGAAAGCTACAGAGAAACCCCAGCCAAGCTATGGCAGCTAAGGGCTGAAACCCTACTGGTGTCCCAGTGATAGCTAGAAAGCGAGCTTGGTGGAAGAACCCAGCCTGGGTACAAGGAGCTGTGTTACAAGACCTGTTTCTTATGTTGTGTCAGCAAGTTGTATACCAAAAGATGTTCAAGGATGTGAGGATATTTTCTTATCACCTGCTCAGAGCTATCATGCGGTTAATGACAGCATAATGCACTTCCCTTGCCAGTAGCCTCCTGTGTGTTATAAAACAGGGAGTGCACTCAAAGACTGAATAAAACTCAGCAGACGTTCAAGTGTTTGTAGCAAAACCTAATTGTGGGAAATTTAGATTTATTTTTTTTAAAATATATATATATATATATATATACACACAAATCTGTTAAGATCCAATATATACTTATATATGATGTATATATTGTATATGCATATTTATTTTTTCCAACTAATCTATTTTCATTTACGGTTTTATATACCATATTCCAAAAGTATTTGAGCCACAGAAGCCAAGCTCATTGCCATTCAATGATCAGCTTACTGCTCTCAGAGAATGACTGGTATGTTCAGTTAAAATTGCACAGAATTGAAAGGTAGCTAACCTTGAACTCTACATCTGGGCTGGCGACACCCCAGTGACACTGCTGGAGGTGGAATTATGTGTAGGGGTTCAAACCAAATACTGTACACAGAGACTCCAGGCACCATGACCCACTTCAAATCACTGAAGTAATCAGGGTACTTGGAGTTGGAGTAACCATATAACTTCTCAGTTGTCAATTATTCTAGTAATACACATCTTTAATCAAATACATCTCATGGTCTAGACGTTCTAGCATTTAGCATTAAACACATTACCCAAGGATAATAAAGTGCTCTGTTGGCAGCTACTGTTCCAGTCTTGGTTTTTACAGCATGTGGATATATTGCATAGTGTTTTCTATGCAAAGCACTCACAAGAGAAACACTTTTAGGTAGAAAGCAGCAAGGCGAGTTGCTAGTGTAGGACTCACCTTATAGGTTTGGCCTTGATGTGGTAGGTAAGCTTACATTTGAGTAATACTAATAAACCTCCAGTTATTTAAAAGTGCATGGGGATTTCAGATGCGCAACAAAACTTTTTGGTTTTTTTTTTTTATTGTATGTATTGGGGCTGATGTGTACTATAGCCATTGCTGCTGCCCAGGAGTAGTGGCAGTTTAAGCACAGGACTTAAATTTGATTGTTAGAAGGTTGTTCAAATACAGTTATACTTTGAGACAAATTAATTTCAAAATAGAGTGCTATAATTCACAACTGGTTACTCTAGAGATTAATCTTATAACATCCCAGTGTACAAGTAACAATATGGAAATTTTGCATACTGTATGTGCTCAACACCACTTATAACGTTAGTGATCCCCTAGCACACATTTAGGCAGCTGGAGTGCCAATGCTTCACATTAATGTGCAAAGAAATCTTTACCTGCAAGTCAGACTTCTCAAATATGGGTACTGCATATAGAGCAGCGTAAAAGGTCATATATGGAACGATAAATCAATGAAATAACTAGCTACCTACCCACCCGAAGTAGGGGCTATAGACTCGTCATCGGAGGTGAACTAGAAGAACACATACGTGAGATTGTTACTAGAACACAGCATTCCACTGGGCACTTACATTGTATTAGTACTAAAAGAGCTGAAGATAACTTTACATGTATATAATAAGCACCACATTAGACGGGGCAGAACTCACATGAGCAATAATATAATTATGAAACAAAGATATATTGGGATTATAGCTCTAGGACAACATTACTTGGGTTGTTAAAGAAACATGCACCATAGCCACACAGTCTACTATAATAGCGGCCATGGTGAAAGGAATGCCCAGGTGTCTCATAATTTAAAACCTTTCCTGGATCCTGCAGGGTGCATGAGCCACGGCAGCCACAACTTGTCTTTTGCTGGAGGAGAAGACTGATATCGCTGTAGAAAAAAAACACAGCCAATGCAGGACCATGCTCAATGGCTGACATAGCTCCTCTGATGCTTTCAGCCAATGAACATGATCATGTTTGGCTCTACAGAGCAACCTGGCTTCTCCTCTGGTAGAAGACAAAATGTGGCTGATATGGTGTGGGCAGCCTGATAATTTGTTAAACCATTCTAAAACACTTTTGAATCTTGTCATGGGACTGCACCAATACGGTGGTTATTATGCTTGCAGTGCTTTTATAACGGCTGCAAAGTGTGCTGGCATCATCCTCATTTTTAAACATCTCATATAAATAAGGTTAAAGACACATTCTGGGCACTAACAAACTGTAAGTGCATTTAATATTTAAGGTTTTGGCCTCATTCATGCTCCAGTTTTCAAAAATCTAGTGTAGATTTAAAAAAAAAAAAAAAAAAAAATTGTTTGGCAGCTTTCTGTAGCAGTAAGCAGTGTAGCTCAAGCATGAGAGCAGAGTGAGCTAAACTGCAGATTTGACCCCACCATCAAAGTTAATCACTGGCCTATAATAATCTGATAGTTAAAAAGCCATGCTAAGGGGAAAGGGGACATAATAAGAGGACAATGATTTTGCTGTGGAGTCGACAACTGTCAGCAGCTCAGAATATCTAATAAGGAAGTTGCATTGTATAAAGAGAATGTAGCTAAAGAGGCAGAGGTATGCTGTAGAGACCTGTGGAACAAACCGCATTAATATGAAGTTAAAACCTATCAAATGTTCTTAAGTTGTGCTGGTGCCCAGATGTACTTTTAGGAGACACGTTGATAAGAGTAGAGGGTTTAGTAGTTAAGACAAACAGAGACAGCCCAAATCTTCATGTCATAATACACAAAAAAAAGAGGCATTAAATGCTAGTATTGGCACTTTATTTCCTATTCCTGCTTATCTTAGCAGTGTCTCTTAAAGACTGTCCTATTGTGTAACATATTTATGGCAGTGATTACATTTTGAAAATGTGGTATTGTCCATCCATCCTTGCCACAAACACATCTTTGCAAATCTGCTACTCTTCTGTATAACTCATCAATATTTTAAATGATCTACCCTGACTAATGATTATACTTTTGACTTTTTTTTTGTATGGTGTTTCACTTCTCTTGACAGCTCCTTAAATACCTAATCAGCACGCTCTCTCGAGTTCTACAAATGTCCCAAGATGCACTTGGGGCAAAGGTCAAGCAGCTTCCTAAACAGAGATTGCGTAAAAGCATGACACCAATTTGAAAACCTTTAAACAATCTCCTTCTCTGTATCAGTAATCAATAATAACTACTGATGTTTAACCATGTGTTTGGAATGTTTCAATGTATAACATTGTAATTGTGTTTTACTGTTCAACAATCCTATAGCATATCTGAAATCAAGAGAATTCTTTGTATTCTTCCTAAAACATTTGTTGCTACAAAACGCTGTAATGGAACTTGGAAAGTTTCTTTAAACCAATTAAAAATTCTAGTGATAATAATGAAGATAATAATAGTAAAAAGACCGGTGCATGACAAGAATTAACAAAGTCTATTCATAAAGTGACACTGCTCTATATAAAATAAAACGTTCCAGTAAATGATGCAGCATTCAAAACAACTGCTTTAAACCTTCATAGCATAGAGTTCTAATACAAGGACCAAGAAGAAAAAAAAAAAGACAAAATAATATATTTTAAACTGTACAAGGATCCTGAGCCACTGCAGGCCAATGCCAACATAACTTTATAGTGTAAACCATGTCCCAATGTTTTACTACCAACACAAAAAAACTAAAAACTTTTTGAAGAAGAACAATGTTAATGCATTTACTTGTGAATAGGTGTTTTGAAAATCACAAATCTGGACTTAAAAGAGATGTTAAAACTGACAACAGATATATTTGTAACAAGATCAAGTGTTTCAATTTTGTTCCTTGAAAAGGAATATAAGGGACTAGAAATTTGCTGGGAGGTCATTTTTTTTTTTACAATACATTTCAGAAGAAAATATATCTAAGAGAAGCATTTATGTACAGGCATTTACAAAAAAAAATATATAATAATGGACAGAAATATACACAAAATCACAGTGAAGACATTGGCAATTTTACCAATCTGTAGTGTAAATACAAAATGCAAAGCAGCCTTTAAAGAGAACAATGCTACACATAAAAGCATGGCCTGTCAAACAGCTAACACCCAGGAATTACAGCAGTAGGATAACTGTGCAAAAAAGCATCATGCGCTTTGATACAAACAGCGGTTCATGGCTAATAGTTGACAGAAATGTGTTAACAATGAATCTTCAGCTGCTATGCATAGCAAATGCTTTATGCCATCTGTTTTTCTTTATACCACTCAACAAATTCATCCAGTAATACAGGCCCTTTGGGAAAAAAAAAGAAGAGTTAGGATAAGCCACATGTTAAAACAAACAAACAAACAAAAATCATATACTAAAGGAGAATTTAGGCAATCTTCCACTAAGTGAGTGACATATTGATCACTTAAAAAGAGGGCTGCTGTCATCTGGACTGCCATCCACTTAGTGAAAAACAGATTAAATATTGCTCTTTGATTGGAACTATTCAAAGTCTGCAGCTCAGGCTGATATCATACCCAACAGACATTTAGCTATGCTTTTCTTTTTGTGCCATTGGGTGTTTATGTACATATACTAAAAAGACAATGGCTTAAGATGCACAAACAGTTAATTGGTAATGTTGAATTGTCTGGTATGCTAAAAACACATGCAAGGGAGGAAAAAAAAAAGTTACTACAAAAATAGAATTATTTTTTTTTTGCACAGCTGGGCGTATGAATGACTATCATGACTAACATTTAGTACTCTAAATTTTTATCTAAATTTACAACTATACAATATTTATGGATTTTACATTTACATACCTATATGCATATAAATTGAAGGAGTGAAAGTGTACAGTTTAAATATTTATTTTATCATTTACACTATCTGCACCTTTGGTGCTACATGTGATTCCACATTGATGGGTTCAATGAGAGCTTTGCACAGGTATCTACACAATTTATTTTTCTACTTTGAACTTTCTGTGTGAGGACACTCACAGTGGAGTTTTCAAGGGACTTTCCAGAGTTTGGACTTTTTTTCCCCTCAAGAACAAACCACAGAAAAAAAGCATAGGGATTAGCAATACAACCAATTCAAAATAAGAACAATAACAAAATGTACTCACAAGCACCATCCTCGTCATAATTGCTGAGATCAAGGTTTATTGTTCGACTGAATTCTAGTACATTGCACCATTGATCCTTATTAATCACTTTGTATTTTGATTGCTGCAACAATCAAATCAAAATGGGAGGTGTTTATTACAAAGAAGGTAAAATGCATATTAAGCTTTCAGTAATGAATATAAACAAATACAACTTAAAATTACACAGTTTATATGTCCAGAAATGGTTTTACTAGGAGAAAGAGTGAAACACTATTCATTATAGAGATAAAAAAAATTTGAAAAAAAAAAAAGAAATCTCACCTGTAGACATCTCTCTTTTACAAAGCGTCTGGTCCACCTTCTCTATTTTCCATGATCATCGAAGCTCTCATCACTAATGTTAACCAATAGGATATAACAAGCATGTACATGCCTACCTGCTCGAAATACTATACCATCCACAGATGCACAATGCACCAATGGTTTGGCATTTACAGTACTCAAAATAGCTTGAAGGATAACACATTCAAGTAAATAGAAACAAGCTTAAATTAATAATCTATAAACAATAAAAATCTCATCATTTCCATAAATAAAACCTAATCAAGCCTCAAATGTGCAAGAAGTAACAAAAATTACTCTATGCCAAACTATAGTAGAAAAATCACATGTGTAGGGTTGCCTTTTTTGTTTTAACAGACTTCTAAAAGAAAAAAAAAAAAGAATAAAAAAAAAAATCTTTACACTGACAATACAACTATAGATGGGAATGCCTGAAAAATATCTGAAAAAAATAGAGAAAACATTTTTATCACTGTCTTTTCTAAAGTGTTTGTTTTTTTTCTGGAATAATTGAAAACAAATTATGGAGTGTGGAATATGTTCTTTTACAATGATAAATAATATGTTTATGACATGGTATTCAAAATATATAACATGAAGACCATAAAAGATTTGAGACTTTATGTAAAGTCTCAAATCACTGCAAGTTCGATCATCTGAAGACAACCAAATCCTGGAGCACATTTCAAATATTGAGAATGTAATTCTCAAATAAGAGCAAGATGCATTTCTGTCTCTAGGGGCGCTGCAAGTAAAAAGGTTTTAGTTTAGTTTGGTTATAGCTGGCTGCATTGGTTGATTGTTTAAGTCCTCTCAATTAGGCCTTCATTATTATTATCGCCATTTATATAGTGCCAACAGATTCCGTAGCGCTTTACAATATTATGAGAGGGAGGATTTAACTATAAATAGGACAATTACAAGAAAACTTACAGGAACGATAGGTTAAAGATGACCCTGCTCAAACGAGCTTACATTCTAAGGTTGACAGGTAACAGGTTAAATTAGTCCAAAAAATTATGTTATCTTTATAACCTTTATCTATAAGATTCCTATTAATGTTCCCCCGCTTAACTGTGTAATGTTTACCTATAGTCTGAGTCTGGCTGGCCAGTAAATTGGCTTTTCTTTTCCTCCTCTCAGTAAGGTGGGTAGACCAACATTCAGTGTTAGGAAACATTTCCACAATGAAATTTCTGCTGAGAACAATACTGTAATTTGCAAATAGTATGACAAGAAATATTATTTCCCAAATGCTCCAAGGATGACCAAACACATCCTTGCGCGCCAGAAGTGTCCTAAAGACATTAAGAATTTTTTGGGGAATTAAACGATTAAGGCCATAGCAATGAAACTGCAAGTAGCTTTTTCCTCCAAAGTTCTTATGCCAGTTAAAGGACAACTCCAATGTTAAACCTTCAATATGAAGACTAAATATTGAGGTGGTCTTTCCACCTCCACAATGCCATGTGGCCACATCCTACCGGCACAAATAATGCCAGTTACTTACCTTTATATTTTCAATTTGTGCCAACGTGCAAATCTGATTGGGCATTTGTGATCACTCACCCAGTGAAAGCTTTGGAGGAGGATTAGAGAAGATTTTTTTTTTTTTTTATGTTGATGTTTTTTTTTGCAGCTTTTGAGGGAAAGGGAGGGGTTACCTGTTCTCATGTATAGTTGAAATGTTTTTAACATTTACAGACCTTGTTCCGTTTGTAACAAAAAAAAAAAAAAAAAGCAAAAAGCAAATTTAGTTTATTATTTACCGATTATGCTGTACATTTATTTCAAGCATAATACTTTGATATACACTGCAATTCATGTTCCCAGTGTAACAAAATTATTTTCAGTTTGTAAAACTACTCCACTATGCATATTTTAAAAATGCCAATCTTTTTTCGCAAAAAAAACAGGACTTCCACATTTCAGGAAATTTTTAATCTCTAAATACAACCCAATTTACACCTTGTGTTCGTGAGATCAAATAAATATGTATACTAAGTAGTTATATACGTACCTTGTGATTTTGTCCAAGCTGGTTGCCTAGTACAATATGTAGATGATGTGTTACCGACAAAGTGCTATCAAAACATTTTTTCCAACATCAACAAACTTTAGAACAGCTTAGCTTTATGTTTTGTGCTGGAAGCTTAACAAAATCTCCCCAGCTTGTACCTGAATTCTACTCAGTTGTCTACATATTGTTTTTCATGTAATTCAGACAACCATAATCAATCTCCCATACGGAATATGATCTTTAGGTAACATCAAATAGACATTACAGACAGCCAATATAAATTAAAGTCCATTTGTTTTGACAAACAATGCATGCCCCAAAATTATTTACACCCACCACAAACTGAAATCTTTTTAGGAAGTGCTTGAGTAAGGGCACTTTCTAGATGTGGATGACACTGTGGATGTGGATGACACTGCATCAGTTTCTACCCAAATGTTAAATTTGACATCCCACAATGTTGATGGCATACATGTATACACAAATACAGAAATAAAAGAAAATCCATGAAGATGAATTTTATGCTCCATAAAATAATTTATTTCAAGTTATGACAATTAAATTTTTGGAGTATCTATCTTGATGCACACAAATAACTTGACATACATAGAATGACACATGGAGAGAATTTAGAAATGTTTTGATAAAAGAAGGTTTGGGCAAAGTTCTAAAAGAAGAGCAATCACAGTGGTAACAATAATTGTCCTCAACGATTGATTGCTCTCTTTTAAAACTTTGCTCCACTTCTCGGTTATGATTACATTTATAAAATCCCCCCCCCACCCAATGTTTACCAGGATATGTTTGCAATAAATTAGGCTATTCAAATACGCAAAAACTAGTCACCTCCTGCATATGTACTCTGGAAAATAATTACTATTAAACATTGATTTCATACCTCTAGAAATTGATGAAACACTGGAAACAATGGCCAAGTTTTCCCTAGTAAGAGACCCAACATGCACTTTGCTGTATTCATATCTAGACTTCTCTGATCCTTTTCCTACACAGAAACACATATTTAGTTCTTGAGCAGAAACACTGACACAAGATTACTGGCAACAAAAGAACATTGTCCATCCTTACATGCTACGAGCAAACTATGTGATGTGTATACACAATAAGGCTTTTAAACTGTTAACAGAAACTGTATCATTGTAAATTCTCAGAGTGACACTCAAACAAATTCCCTGATTACTACAATAATAAGTAAATATATTACATTAACAATACACATACTACATATTCACTACACTGAGCCATCTTTAAGAGGAAAGGAGGATATCCAATATATTAATAAATTTTTTTGTAAAAGAATGACATATTGTGGCAAGCAGCATTTATTGCATGGATTTCTGGCAGATCAAATTAAGGAATAGGGGAAATGGAACATTTGTTTATTGGCTCAAAGGCACAAACTATTTTGATTAATTATTACAATTAAGCAACATCTTACTTTCCTACAGGATATCAATGAAAACATTGATACATAAAATCACTCACCCGTGCAAAATCAAAGGCATATCTATAAATAAGTTTAAAATTAGTTGGCTCATTTAATAACGACCTCAAGTAGTCCAAGGTATTACGTAGTTTCTCCGTTGCATCACATCTGGAATAAAATAAACATGTTTAAAAATAAAATGTATTTTCTTTTAGTGCAGGATATGCACGGTTTGGTCTTTTAAGTTCTCTTTGGCCTTTCACAAGACACTTTGATTAATGAATTCTTCTGGGTTACTTACATGGTCTTCTGGAAAGAGGACTTTACTTACATATGTGCACAAGGAGTTAAAGCACAAAGAAGCTATTATATGGGATACATTTTTTGTAAACAAAAGAATGTTTTTCTTTTAATGATAATCACTTACGAAAAGTACCTGGTTTGGCTATGTATTGTATATACAGAAGCCACTTTAAGTTTGCCATATTTTAACTAGCTTAAACTCTTTCAAGTGAACTTATCACTCCATGTTCACCTAAATTTATAACAGCAATAACCAATTTATCATTTGATCATTAATAGAAGATATATTAAATTGCGTTGACAGCTGGTATACACTTGTATACCTTCTGCCCCTCATTCTAGCAAAGTAATTCCCGGAGGGTCTGTGAATGTCATTATTTGCACAGTCACTGTCCCTGCTGGGTACACATCCCTAGACAGGAAAATTCTACCTGACTATGTATACATGCTGATTTCACTGCCAGCACTTTGGCGGCTGAGCAAAGTGACATCAGTCACAATATTCCTATATTTCCTCCAATAAGCATGATACACTCTTGCTGGGGGAATAGCTAGGGCAGGTGAGGAAAATCACCAGCTGCATTGCCTTGTATAAATATACACAAATTACAAACATTTTGCTAGCTCACTTTAAAAAGTCAAAATATTTAGTTCATTACTTTTTGCTTGTAATTAGTCACATCATGATCTTTGGCTCTAGAGTGAAGTAGTCCTTAATACGGCACTGACACAAGCCACAGTTAGACAAACAATGCAGACAAAAAAGCTAAGTTTTGTAGAAGAGACTTCAAAAATGTATTTCTGAAGGCTTCTCTATTGCAGGTGTAAAGGATGCGCTGCCCATGGCAACCTCTGGAATTGGTACACAGACAGTTATGCTGTCCAGTTGAACAGTATACTTAATTTTGAAATCACAGAGAAAGCAAAAGGTATGAACCTAATTTGTTTACATTTCTTAAATACAGTATCTAATTCACCAAAATAATGTGAACAAAAACAGCAGGAGTAGACTATCTGAAATAAAAAGGACCACTGCAAGGGAAATATGTTCATGGAGTGATAAAATGTGCAGACACAAATTGTATAAACAATTGTGGTACTTATAAACCAGGTTCCAGTTTTAAAGTCACAACAAGACTATACAGATATTGATCAACAATAATAAAAATGTAAAAACGTACCAAGATGGCATTGAACAGGTTAATTTTTCTGCAGGGATGTTGATTTTAAAGAATATGAATTGCCCAGATCCCCATGGTGTTAGGATTTCTCATCATCAAGAAAGTTATCAAAAGGTAAACTGTACAAATAGCTTTTCACATGTCAATACATTGCTTACATTCTAAAAGTAAACTTACTGAAGGGATGTCATTCCTTTTAACCATTCCTGTAAAGTAAAGTAACCCATATTCTGTGCATCTAGTTTCCAAGCCAGAACAAGCATTACTACCTAAAGAAAAAACAAAGTAAATGAGTAGTGCAAAAAAATAAAATTAAATCAACGTTTAACTACAATTAACAGAGGCATTTGCCAGTAAAAAAAATAAAAAATTTGACATATTTGCATAAACATAGGATAAGTGTGTACAATAATACACAGTAAAAATGAAAAAGATAATATGTTTATGCTGCATAGCCATCATTTGTAGGGATAAGGAAACAAAATAAAATGAAGAGTGGCATTTAATAGTGTTGAGATAAGAAATTTGGTAAAAATGTCTGGAAGTGTGAAGATCATCAGCCAGTAAAAACATGGTGATTACTGCACATTAATAACTGTGCACTTTACAGATGACCACACTTTTCAGATTTACATTTACATGCAAATTTCCCCAAATGAAATAAAATGCATTATAATAAAATTGCCGAACACTAATACAGGAACATTAATCATAATGGTATAAAAGAACAAGGAAGAGAAAGAAATAACAGTTTTTTTTTTTTTTTATCGTGCTCAAAAATTGACAAACAGCCTTGATATGCCACAACAGTGGTGTCAAGTTATATATAACTTCATTGGTTAGTGCTGGTTATGACATTTACTGGTCTAGCACATTTTAAATTTTGTAAAAGCTGACAGTCTCTTTATACTGAAAGATACATGAGACAATTATAAACAATTAATATTTAACAATGCTAGGTTAGCTATGTTAGTATAGCTAGTACCATTAGTTAAGTTACATGCATCATTTGGGTAGAGTAAGATAGCGAGATATTCAACGCTTAACAGTGCTAGCTTAGCTATGCAAATATAGTTGTAGTGTGGTAGTATGACTCGTAGTGTATCATAAGCTAGTATGCAGTAAAAATTAACTAAAGGTTCAGACAGGTTGTATGTTTATGTTACATTGATTTGCCCATCTTGCGCAAGGCATTGCGAGCTGAAAAAGCAGAACATTCTCACAAAAGGAGTTTCTAGTCATCCTATCATGTGGACAGGAGCGGTAAGCAAGATGGTAAAGTCAAAGAAGTGTCCGAAGACGGATTCAAGCCAGGAGACTGCTGCAGTTCCGGCATTTTATGTAGGTGAACCTAGCCGAGGCGTACATGGTACGGTGTCGGCAGTGGTTAGCTTATGGAGTGTGAGGTATTGCAAACCTGTTGGTAGGCATGTAGTGCCCAAAAGCGGTATAACTTGTCAAAATCTAATTAAACAGTGAACACAAACTTAAGGTATTTATGAGAAGTCGTTGTCAGTCCCGGTCAGATAGTCTCTCGGGGCTTCATGTAGTCGCTGTAGCGTATGGTTCCTCTGCCTGTCGTCCTGGCGTAAATGGGGTGATGTTGCTCAGGTCCCAGATATGCAAGGGCCTGGTATTGGGTTGCGGTTTTAGTAAAAGGTCTTGCGGTAGTCCCAAGTCCCTTAGTAGTGTGCCCGCGTCTCGTATATCTTGGAGTTGGTGTGTGGTCTCTCCGTGTGAGACTTGGAGCATACAGGGCAGGCACCAGCAGTATCCTATGTTGCGCTGTTGGAGTAGTGAGGTAAAGGGCCTGAGTGACCTTCGCCAGGCCATTGTACTGCCAGACAGGTCGCTGTAAAATTCTAATGCCATATTTTCGAAGTGGTAGTTTGGCTTGCCCCGATTGCCTTCAGGATAGCCATCTTGTCTGCTCTGTGCCTAAATTGGATGATCAGGTCACTTGATGCCGTTGGCGGGGCTTTGGCCGGTTTGGGGATGCAGAAAACCGTCCAGGGGTGTTGCTTTAGCCTGCTTGGGTGGTAGCAAGTCTCCCATCATTTATCTCAAGTGCGACAGCTTCGCTTCGGAGACCGGGTTGGGTACCCCCCTGATTTTCAAGTTGTTCTGCAGGCGGAAGTCTTCCTGGGCCGCGAAGCGGCGTTCATGGGCCTGATTTTGCTGCTGTAGCTCTTGCACCAGTCTCTCCAGCACCTGTATCCGCTGGGAGTCCTGGATAGAGGTAGTTTACAGTGTGTTGATTCGGCCTGTTAGTCCCTGCAGCCCTCCACATATCGTGGCAATGTCGGCTTGCAGAGTGGTCTGTAAGTCCGCAAGGAGTTTCTTTAAGGCAGAGATTGTGACCGGGGATGAGTCTTATTTTGTCTGTTGTGTAGGCTGGGGTTTCGCCAGTGCAATTGAAAATGCCTCTTCCTCCTCTGAGGCCGGGTCGTCCGAGAAATCGGAACAGCCGCCCAACAGCGCGGCCATCTTGGGCCCGCTCACGCCATGTGCCTGGCGCCACTTTTCGCCGATGTTCATCCCCATGGTAGGTCGGTCCTGTTTGGACTTTTTTGTTTTGCGTCCCATGGCGGTAAGGTGTGCAGGTTCGGTATCTGGGATCTCAGTATAGCAGGTAATCGCCCTTAAAAGTACGTTTTTGTCAGCTTTTAGTTCGAAGCCGCAGTGTCCGAAATAACAGGTTTTTAAATGAGGAAAGATCAAAATACATATTAATGAAGGAACATCCTAGGGTCGCAGGGAAATGAAAGACAATAGAGTAGGCTTCTATTGCATGAGTAGGAACAAAGGCAACTTTAGTTTTGAGATACACAATATAAATTATTATTAAAACTGGTGAAGAACAGGTATGATCTAATGATTACATGCAAATATGAACATCTCACTGTAAGAGATTTAAGCAAATGTTGACCATTCATTCCCTGGATGAAGTGACAGGGCCTGAAGAAAGAAGATGATGGCACCAACAGGGGTAGCATCAGGTAAGTAACGTGCTTTTGGTGTACTCTGGAGATAATGCATCTAAAACAGGGATGTCACCATGATTGAGCCAGGCATGGGCGCTACTGATTGGCTGAGAGTGTCAGCTGACTGCTCTCAACCAATCAGTGACTCCTAATTCATAAAACTGGTATGGAAAGAAATGTACCGTTCCAAGCCAGGGGGCCTCCTGGCACCATAACTTAATTTCGATTAAATTGATAAGGTGTGTAAATTGTACCTTTAAAGAACACTACGTACTAATACAACTTTTGCATAATAAAGTGGTTTTGTTGTACAAATTAGGCCTCTTAATTTCACTGTCATTTAGGAGATTAGTCTCTTTGTTGTTTATGTAGCCCTATCCTCATCTCCCCTGGCTGTGACTCACACCTACACACTTCCTGAAAAAAGTATTTTGTTTTTTAGCTTACATTATAATACAGTGTGTTTAATTTTAAATTTTGTATACCCTGCAACAGCCTCCTGTGTGCACTTAAATAAATCGGCTCTGTTACGTCAAAATGGCCTTTTCTTAATCCTCAATCAATTATTTCCTTCCTGTATTTCAATCTGTTCTTCTTTTCTGCTTACCTCTTATTTGCCTTAAAATTCAGAGGGCAAAATGTAGGGCTTAAAGCAAGCTCCTCCTCCTCATAAGACAAATTATCCCGAGGGATGCGACTGGCAGGTAAGTATAATGGGAATAAATTCTCACAATCCTCACCACGTGACCAATGCTAACAATTATGGAGTGGACATGTGTGAGATTGGATGTCCACTATAGAGAAAGGGCAAATGAAGGCATAGACAATAAGTCACTGCCAGGCTACGGAATACATTCATTTCACCTAGTCAGAGAAAAAAAAAAAAGGCTAAGCACATGACAGAACTGCTTTAAACCATTCTATATTTTTGTGTTGGCAGTGCCAATCACAGCTGAGGTGTGTGGCTAGAGCTGCATGAACAAACCCAAAAGTGATTTTACTCCTAAATAGCATAGAATTGAACAGAGAGACTGCAGGGGCATGATCTATATGGCAAAACTGCTTTACCAAGTTGTTTTAGTGCTTAAGAGTGTCCCATACAGCAAGTCAAATCTTGTGAACGACAGGAAGTTACAAATTTAACATAACTCAAAAGAGAAAAACATGCAGGGACTGCATTAATCAGCAAAGAAAATTCAACGAAGTCATCAATGCTTCAGTCCACATACCCTTAAATTTTATAAATACACTATTTTTGCACTAAAATGTTAAAACTAACAAAACAATTTATGATGCATCTTAATAAAAGTCATGTGAGTGCTCCTGTTTGCAAACTGAAGTATTGCAGAGGATTACTTTGGCTACATTAGCAGAATATTAATTTAGGACTTACATTTTCTGGTTCAACACCAATATCTTCACAAAACTTCTCCATTCCTTCGGGGCCTACAATGTCATCTGTTCCTGCCAAAGAAACACAGTAGTTATCTTACAGCAAAGGAAAGAAGAAATAAGAACTAGACACAAATTAAATGTATTGTTTTTTGTTCAAATCTGCAGGTGCTGTTGTAATCGGGAAGTGACCAAATTATTCAGCCTGTCCTGGTCATCCATTTTTTTCAGGAGTGCAGTGCATACCATATAACTGTACCAAACACAGCTTTAAGGGATATGAAGTTTAACACTCACAAGTGGATTCTTTCATGAAAATAGAATGAAACTGCACAGCAACTTTATAGATGTAGCACTACAGGTTGTATTAGGTTGCCAAGTGCTTTCATAATTTTTCACTCAGGAATGGAAACTATTCCTGCATATGAAAGGCTATGAGAGAGCCTGTCCAAATCAAAAGAAAGTTGTCAACCAAAAAAGCCGCTCATTGCCAAGAAGAAGGTCGGTTACATTATTTTGAGTCTACTGTCTTTCACACAGCCACGTGCCTGCATTCTCCTTATAAATATTAACATTAGCAATTAATCACCATTTCCTTGTAGACATGTATGGGAATGTATAATGGCATATGCACAAGACTACATTTGTGTGTAATGGGTAAAAATAAAAGCATGTGCAGTGTATCACACATAGATCACTGCAGACTCAGAAATTAGCAACAGAAAGTGGAGTTTGGTTCTTCTATTCTTATAATGTTAGTAGAAATTAATTCCCAATTCTATACCAGCAGTATGGTTATTATTATTTTATTATTTATATAGCACCATCAGATTCCGTTGTGCTGGTTCAAGTCTATCAAGGAAGAATTTCGCTTCACAGTATCAAAGAGAAGAAATAATCCTCACATTGCGTAATTTGATGGATTTTGGGATATCAAATCAACCATGTTTGAGTCAGAAGGTAAGCTGGTTCCATGGCATTGGAGGAGCAACATTTCAGACTGTGGTCTGCCACACAGATATGTAACTCCACCATGCCCCAAGTAACTTTGCCAGCCACACCATAAAAAGTGAAAATATTACAAACTGTATTTTTAGGTATAGGAGTGTATGCACCAGAATACGAGATGCATCCATATATTTTAAATAGACATTCAGAAAAAAAAAAAAAATAAAGAAAAAAAAAAACAACAACCAGTACCATAATTACAGTAAACTTTTGCAGTGTGTGTGTAACCGATGCAGTAGGTGTATGTTAATAAGAAGTATATGTTTAGTCAATGCAGTGTGTGTGTTTGTGTAAGGGAGGACGTGTGTATAATGAATGCAGTGTGTGTGAATTTGTGGGGTGAGTAGGGGCTGTGCTGTGTGGATTGGAGCAGTTTTATATTTTATTATTTTAAAATGTATTTGTTTTATTAAAAGGTTATTTCTTCCTCCCTCTCTGCCTCTTACCTTTGGCCAGGGATAGGGAACAAGATGATGCTTGGTGGCCTGGTGTTGAGTGACTTTAGCCTGCACCTCCATGGTGTGCAGACCAAGTACACTCTTCTTGCGAACCCCGGTACTATGTGTTATCTAAGCATTGCAGGGGTAATCTGCAGCAATGATCTGAATGGCTGGAGCTTGGGGGGGGGGGGGAATACTTTCAGCCTGACCCCGGCTGAGGTGCAGACAGGGTCTTCCAGGATCCCCTCCTCAACAGAAGCCTGAGATAGGTGGATAGGATAAATGATATAGAAATATTTGCTATATGTATACATGTGGAATATAAGACACAGGCAGTTATTTAATCCATATTTTTGGACTAAAAAAATAAATTAAAAAAAAACAAAACAAAACAAAAACACTGCATCCTATATTCCCATAAATATGGTATTTTGCTTAAAATTTGAAGCTCGTTCACAACCCTTAAATAAGCAAATATTATAAGCACTTCTCGATCTTCTTCAAACTAAATATATACTATTAAAGGTGCCGGCTGAACGTACAGACAAAATTAACACGATCTACAGAGTGTCTCCACTGGCACTTATTTTGCCAAGAGCAACTGTGCATGTGCAGGTACTGCTACCGGACAAATAAACACCGCGTATGCTCAATGATGGAAGATGAACTCTAGGAAGATGTCCATTCCATTTGTCATATTGTGTTGCCATGCACATACAGAAAGTCACATACCTGCATATTCATAGAACCATTCTAAGCATCGCTTGCTTGAAAAAGCTTCATCCTCTGCTTTTATTCTGGAAGAGTCGTATTTCTTATACATTCTTAAATTAACACACAAACATGCATTACATTCAAAAACAGGTTGTCTATCAACAATAAATGAAACAGCCATAATATATTAATGTTTTAATAAGCTGAGCACACGTGCATTGAACATTACCTAAAAATAAAAGTGGCAACAACAAACACCACAATAATAAAAAAAATAAAATCCAATAAACCATTAAAGAAATTGAAAATAAATAAAACTTACATTAACAACATAAGGACCACTGCTGCACTTATACATTTAAAAATGGTCTTTAAGGACCAGTGACATACCATAGTGTAATCGCAGAACTGGAATTTGCCCTTCAGTCACTGCTTAAAAACTAATATTAACTGCTATGGGACTGGACCAATATGTTCAGCCCTCTCCCCAGCATTTCTTTGCACGTGTTTGCTTTCAAATCTATAGGCAGGAAAAAACTGAGGTGTGCCAACACTGAATGTGCATTTCAAGACTCCCACTTACTCATGGATACTGAGAGAGAGCAAAGGAGCCTTGGCAATAAAAGAGGAGTAACAAAGACATGGGTAATTACGGAGATAAAAATTAAAATATTTTGAGATACTTATTTTTATCCTAATATTTGTGAACAAATTATAGGCAAAACTACAAACTAGCTTTTTAATCATACTAAATAACAATACACACACTATAAAATGTGTATACACATATACATATGCATGCACATAAATCCAAATATATAATACACAAGTCTACAAAATAAGAAATCAGAAAATTACTAGTGAAAATAACCTTGGTCCTAAGAAAGTAAAATGAAAGGTTGGTGCAATCTTTAGGCTTCCACATAATTACAAGCAAGCAAAAATCTGGATATCTGTGAACTTTATTTATTTTATTTTTTTTAATAATTAGGAAATGGATCAAGCTTTTACTGGTTTCTTTTCATACAAACTGCAATAATAAAAAAGTCCAACAATTTGAAGGAACATTGTTAGCAAAACACTGTTATGTTAGCAACACATATTTGTATTACTAACTATTTAGATTGTCGCACTGAAATAATTAAATAGTTTAACTTACTTGCAGTGCCAGTTCGCAACATTACTGAATCTTAGCCAATCCAATGCTTTCTAATAGGGGAACAATGGGGGTCTAGTGTGCATTTAGAGCAATCCTCAAACCGTGCAAACAGAATATCCTCATCGAGATGTATTGGCTCAGTGCATCTCTATTGGGAATGTTCTTCATCTTCATGTTGAGCATGAAGATGCTAAACACTAGTCCTGCCAACATTGTATGACTACACCAGAAAGGACCTCTTATGGCTCTCTGAGTAACAACCAGCTTGTAATGTAAACATTACCTGTTCACAGAATAGATAGTGTTTGCATTGCTGGGGCTGCAAGGGCAGTCTCTTTGCACCAGAACCGCTACATTACGTTTAAGTCTTTCTGGTGATTAGAGCACCCCCTGTAAGGGCTAGAATTCATATAGACTGAAAAAGTCAACTATTCTACTAACTTTTTATTTTATAGTTCTCCATCTATTTTACATGTATAACGTCCCTCCAGTGTAGCAGGCACCTAGCCCTATAAATAGCCTACATTTCTTAGCAGTTATAAAACCATGCAGAGCAATCATAAGTCCAAATGACAACTAACTACCAGACAATTGCCCATAAAAGTATGCATGACACACTCAACAAATTAAGAGTTGGCAGCAACTCCGTGTCTGAAGGCACCATTTGGATGTTTCTCAAAATAATCCACCAGATTATAGAAAAATGTGCAAAGACAAGTCATGACAAAGGAGGAAATTATACCACATGAGTTGTCAAGCAAAATCTGGATGTCAGAACATTTAGAAAAAAAACAGATGTAACAAATATATTCAACTGAATGATATTTGAATGACCCAGTACCATTCAAGCAGTGGTGTCGCTAGGGGGGGGCAGAGGGGGCCATGGCCCCCCCCTACATCATGCTGTGCCCCCCCAAATGCTGACCATGGTCTTAAATTATATTCCCTCGGACTGTAACAGTCTGTTACAGCCCGAGGGAATGAAGGACGGAGGGGCTGGAACAGTGCTGAGTGTTTTCAGCAGCTTCCCCGGCATAGGCCCCTCCTCCCACACGTAAGCACCTGCCGTTAAGCAGCAGACCTTACTGCTGCTGGAAAGGATGGAAGATGGCTGTCTGACCCCCAGCAACAGCCTCCAATACCTGCAAGCTTCACCTATTAATAATGGATCATCTTTGTTGATGCAGTTAATATGTGTGGCATTTTATGAAATTGTTGAGACTGTGACATTAAAGAGAAGATATAAGGTAAAATACTGTAATTGGCAAAAAAAAATAATTGCCATGTGTTACTTTAAAAATACACATTTCAAAGTATTTAATGGTCAATCTTTTTTATAGTGGATTGCTAACTAGCAAACAGTAGACTATGTCCCACCACTGCACCTGCATTTGCCATTGTGATTAAGCAGCCCTCTGCATGGAGACACTGAACTTTCTTCATAGAGATGCATTGAACAATGCATCTCTATGAGGAGATGAGGAATGGCCATGGCTGTGTTTGGCTTGCTGGATCTGCCTCTTTGACAATAACAGCCAATCCAATGCTTTCCTACAGGAAAGCATTGTGATTGGCTCAGATCATAACTTCTGATGAAGTCAGCCAAGCAGGCAGATCAGGGGCAGAGCCAGCACCAGCAGACTGGAATAAATATTACATTTTACTATATTAGTTGGGGCAACAGGAGCCAGATGGTGTTTTTTTACACTATAGGGTCATGAATACATGTTTGTGTTCCTGACTATATAGTGTTCATTTGAGAAATGATTTAGAACAATGTAATCACTCTTAAACATATTTTAGTTTCCAAATTAACATAAGATCTGCGATATCATAAAAGGAAGAGAATATAGAAACAACATATATTAAACTTGCAAATAAAAATATGTGAAGATTGTAAATTCACATCCTTATCCCAAAGAATCACATAAGATGTAAACTGCAAAATGAATTTCCATCAAACAACAAGTGTTGGATATGTTGCAGTCCATAATAATTAGTTAAAGCTTATGATAGGGGTGAAAGAAGTTCTTAAAAAACAATGACCACATTTCATATTTTATTTAAAAATTATCTTCTGTGTTCTATGTAGCTAGATAAATGAGAAACGCGAGTATCAAAATGCACACCAAAAAGATGCAAATATTTCTTCTAAATCAGATTTTTTCTAAGACAAGGTGCTATAAAACTGCTAGAGAAGAGAAGAAAAAGCAAACAAACTTTCTTTACATCAATAGGAAACAATATTTATATTTCTCTTATTACTACCTTTTATAGATTATAGGCGCAGTCTAGGTACCGTAACCACTAAATGCCAATTTAATCATTATAAAACCATTATGCATCATCTCCTGTTTCTTGGTTAAATTGCTTTCAAAAGGTTTGACTGGGTCCCGAAGCACCAACAGCCCAGCCCTTACTTTCCAGAATTGCTAATGTAGAATTCCCACTGTATTAATGTCACCCATATTTTAGCGTCATTCATAAGAATGCAATTTGCGTAAAATAAAATAAATAAATGTACCAGGAAAGAACCACTTACCCATCATGTCGACTTTTCTTAGCTAACAGATCATCACTTGAAGCAGGTCTCCTCTTTTTCCTTGGTGGCATTGTTTTATTAAAGCAGTCAGATGAACTGCACGAACGCAGGTTTCCTAAAATCAAAATTCACAAATAAAAGAAAAATACTTAATATTAATCTGTCATGGTTATTCACTGAAGTTTGAATTGTCATGATTTCAGAGACCGTTTCAAATTTTAGTTCAAAAAGAAAAAAAATTAAAAAAATTCTCCAAGTCAATTTTGTTTGAAGTTTAGCTAGTTTGGCCTGAAACATGAAATCCATTTTTAAATTTCAACAATTCTCTCTCAAATGAATAACCTTTTGCGTGCTGATTAAAGGACCACAGTTTCACAATCTATTACAATGTCCATGGCCATGTTGTTGTATGATTCATTTAACAAGAACACACAAGTTGATTTCATTGTGCTACTTGTGCAGATGGGTAGAGACAGACAGACATTATGAGAACATGAAAACCAGACAAAATAGGAGTATGCACTTTTTAATAAGCATCATCAGACAATTTGCAGGTGATGGCAAGAAGTAGTGGGCCTGAGAAAAATACTACTAAAGAACTACCTGTCTGGTGCTCGTCTTGACCCACGTCTTCTGTCAGGTTCTGTAAAAGAAAATGTTGTTAATCTAGATCTTAGTATATAAAAATACATATAATCCTGAACATGTGAGCTCCATTTGAGAACATATAATAAAAAGGGAATTATTAAAGTGGAAAAGTTTTTCCCATTAACTCAGAAAGCAAACCTAATCGTTCGTTCAATAGAACTAAAGAAAAACAAGTACCAAAAGAGTCAATCCAAGACTAGTTATTATACATAGAGGCAAAGTATAGCAATGTAATCATTTGAGGTGGCCAAGAACATGCATATATGGTAAGATACAAGTGGAAAAGGGAAGTATTTCTAAATAGTAATTGTGGAGCAAACTTCCAAATATTGATCAATTAGCAGGAAAAAACACCACTGGGTTTCATAGCAATTACTCAACTGTTACAAGACAGTTTTTTTTTTTGTTTGTTTTTTTTTTTATAAATGAGGAGTTCTGTGGACATACCTGAAATGGATTGCTTTTTTTCGTAAAACACTGTTGCACAATAAACACATTTTATAACAGATTTGAATTAAAAAAAATAAAATGTTATTTTTCTGAACTTTTCTGTCTGATTTAACGGCTAGAAAGTAGAAAAGGAGCAAGCTTGTTTTCTTTAAAAAAGAAAATTAGTACATTTTATGGGAGAGTGACTCAATCAAGAGTAGGCAGCGGTAACTTTGATATCTTCAGTCTTTACCACTTGATCAAATCGCAAATGCCCCCTCTCTCTATATTTCACTCTTCTCAAAACTACTTGAACTAAAACGTTTAGAATACCAAATATCACTTTAATTGGTTGTTCTCTCTAATTCACTCTATGTAATCTTGCTTCTGATCATAAAACTTTGTCAAAACAGCTTTCACCAAGGTAAAGCAGGGTTTTAATGTATTTATTTTTAATATGTTAAAGGAAAAGAAAACGCTGAGAGCTTAACATCTAAAGGACCAAACTGTTGACTACCCAGTGAGAAGAGTGCATTCTGATTAAGAACATAAGAAAACATACTTTGTAGATGTAATACACACCAACAATATCAGGTCTCAAACCTGGCTTTTAAAATCTCTTCACATAAATGGAAAGCCCCAATCATTCTTGGTATCCTCCAGGATGCTCCTCTGCCAAGATAAAGATAACACTTCTGACTGAGGAGGTAGTATATTTTAGATTTGTGTTCTCCTAGGCATAACGGAACCCCCTAATTTGAATTTGCCCCACCCCTTCCCGTTGAAGACTAACACTCACTGACAGACACACATTCACAGATTAACTGACATACACACACACACTCACTGATTTGACACAATCTGACAGACACACACACACACTGGCATATATACACACACACACACTCACTCACAGACATACACACAATAACAGACACATACACTGACAGATACGCACACACACACTCATACTAACAGAAACACATACACACATACACATTCCCTCCCCCTCCCCCCCCCCCAACACTCACAAATTGTTATTTTTATTTATTTTTTAAACTTAATATAAGTTTACCCAGCATCTCTACTTTTGGAAAAGCTGGGCGGATTTTTTTTTACCTTGCGTCCAGCTCAGCTCCCTCGCTGCAGAGTGATGCTGGGCACCGGAGTGACCTCATATTCCGGCTCCCGCCATCACGGCGGGGTGCGCAAGGGAGCTGAGCAGGGAGAGCTCAAAGTTCAACACTCCCTCGCCACCTGCCCAGAACACAATCGACTGCTTGCCCACAGGTGGCTAGCAGGCCAGCTCTTGGGCCACCATAAAACAAGGCTGACAAAGTATTTGCCTGGGCATTTGGTGGCTGCATTTTTTTTGCCGGTTCCTGGAAAGTGCTACCCAAGGCAAATGGCTTGTCAGCCTTGCGGTAAATACATCACTGGACTGAGGCACACGTATTGTGGCAGAGCTAATTATATAACCAGTAGTATGGTTCACAGTTGTAATGTATATCTGGTATGTTGGGTCTTTACCAATAGACTACGGACCTGGTGGAAAAGCTCCAGAAGGACCCCAGTCCAGCTGCAGCGACTGGGAGAAAAGCGCTCCAGGGTCCACGCAAACGCCAAGAAAGCGGACTGGGCGGAGGTACTCTGTCAGAGTACAAGAGCTCCGTCACAGGCCTGGACGAGCTTCAGGAATGTACTTTGGCTAAGTATAGCAGTCAGTCCTCAGTCTCCTAGAAGTATTTTTAAAGCAATATACAGACGTATAATTTTCCAGTACTCGAAACATGGAGTTACGGTTAGTAGATATGTTGCAATTGGATAACTTTTGCACATTATTTATTATATACGGATGTCCCACATACTTTGACATCCTTATTACCCTTACCAGTTCATTGGATGGACTAAGACAACTGTTGAAGCCAGTTAAAGGAACTCCTAATTCCAACCCGATAACATTCAGCTCAATAAAGTTGCTCTGGGACCTTTAGTTCTGGGGCAGAGGGTAACCTTTCCGTTTTAGATTGTTTTTAAATTATTTAACTTTAAATTTCTACCCCTAGATGCCTGTCATGCTGCGTACTTTGTCTTCCCCTTGGCCGCCTTGTTGACACTATCAGAAAGGCTTACAATTTCAAGTCCTGAGATACTAGCCAGGCTTTGAAAGTTACATGCAGCTACAAGGCCTGCAGATGCATGGTACATTCCCTTGGAGTGAATTTTTACTAACCAGGGCAGACATTTCCACTCGTTTATGGATAGTTGTGAATTAAAATTTTGACCCCAGTTATTAGTCCATCACTGGCTATTGATTTAAGTTATATTACATACTATTACTTGCAATGGCCGCAAACGCTTCAGTAATAGAGTGGCCAAGGACAAAACAAAGGGGGCGGTGTGAAAGGTGCTTAGGAACATAATTTCTAAATAATTATTTAAACACTGTAAGGTAAGATCGTCCAGGCCCCATAACTTCATTGAGCTTAGATTGGCTCTTTAATTCTAAACTACTCAGAGTTTTAAAGAGTAAAATTAAAGGAAAATGTGCAATAAAAAAAAATTATAGTTTTCAATCACAATTTTTACCCACCATAACCTATTTTGATTATTATTTATATAAATAAATCCAAAAAGGTTATGGTGGGGAAAAATTGTGATTGAAAACCCCTTCCACCTGAAGTCTGTGGATAGTTAATACAATGTTAAACAAAAATCTGCACACCAGTCAAGCCATAAAACTTGCTTTTCCCACAGAAATCCCAAATCTGCAGTGATATTACAACCGCAGAGGATTCTGGGTTGATTTGGGATTTATTTTTATACCAATAAATGTGCACTTTTTAAATACTTTTCATATCCTCCATTCAATTTTTTTCTATGTATTATAGGGGTTCAACCTTGCTTGCGGACTATTGTGCAGTACTTGCAATGTGAGATATTTTCTATAATAGGGAAAAATCCAGCACCAAGACTTAAACCCCATCAATAACATGATGTCAGGATTTTTATCCACACATTAAGATTCTACCTGATACCAACGATACCACAAAATCTGGTGTTGCGGCATTGTCTGTGATTGGGATTTTACATCTCATCCACCTTTTTTCGTTTCAACTTATTGTCAAAAAAACAAAAAACCCACAATGAAATTTGAAAAGCACTAAATAATTGCAAAATAGTGATCACATGGGCAGATAACGGCCAGTCGCACAGAAGGTAAATAAAGATGGCCATCAGAAAGGGGAGTGGGAAAGGGAAATTTTATCATAAATGTCAATACATATGAATAATCAGATGGTATATTATTAAAAAAAAAAAGTAAAAAGATTATATTAAGAGATAACAGTTTTCCTTTAACACACTTTATATATTATTCCATACATACATTTTACGTCATACTAGGAGCCATATTCTACTCAAATAATTAATAAATTAACTAATAAACTAAGACTGTAACATAGTACATAAAATCCTTCCCATTACCAGCCTGTTGAGTGTGTGATATATCTTGTGAATGTTTGCCAGTGTTGATAGATGGGAGTTCAGCTGAAAATCTGTGTAAAACAAAACAAACAAAAAAATTCATGTAGTTACAAAGTAATATAGGTTGGAAAAAGGCTCAAATACATTGAGTTTAGCCTTTTGAAATATATTGATTTTTATGATTACACTCATCCAGTAATGAAACTTTTTTTTTTTAATTCTTATTATTTATTTTTTTCCTGTCATCACCAATACAATCCTTGATCAGTATGTGCTTTAGAAAAATAAAATTGTAATTTCCAAAGTTTTTGGATACAGCGTCTTGAATATTAAAATATATCAGAGGGCTTCATGTATTGTGTGGCAGTACCTGCCTTGTGCCACTAAAACATTCATAAAAGACCTTTATCACTCACCATGGCTTCCCCTACCGTCCCTCCCTGAAACACACCAAAAGCGCTCTTCCCCACCATGCCTGCCAGCAGTTCCAGGGAGCCATAGTATACAGTCAGAACTTCAGCAGATCTAGTTATAACTGTCTGGAACTCCGGCGCAACCGCGATAAGCACCACTTCTTTTACTCTGTCCAGGAGAGCGCTAACCGGAGGGAATGTACAACGGAAACTACTGACCAATCGCTCCCTGAAAGCCAGGGGGAGCTCAAGCGCACCCATAAAATGACTGGCCATAGCCACAGAACTTATGGAATGCATTTTGGCCAGGATTCAACGAATGGCCAGTCTAAACTTTAACTCTGTGGCGTTTCTTATGGATACGAGTGCTCTTCTGCCAGAATGGGCGCTCGGGCCAGACATTTCCAGTGAATTATTACTCATGCAGGATTGGGTTTGTTTTGTTAATGTTTTTGGAGTTTTTCTATGTAAGGCTCTCTGTATCCAGGAGAAAACTGATTTATCGAGAGTTGACTCAATTATCTACCAGACACAGAGATGTCTACCCATGTTCACAATGGAGACCCCCTGCTTGGGATTGTCTTGTCCGAATAACATTCGTCATTGTCCCAACATTAAGTGTCGTCTGATGTCTGGGGTAGTAAGGGCTATATCACTAAACAGTGCTTTCTTACACCTCGAGGTATATTACAGCAGAGATACCCAGCCGGGGTATAGGAGCTTCGCTACATAGGGTTAAATATTTTTATTTACTGTGACGGAAAATACTGATGACTGATTTCTATATAATGCATATAGGTGAAGGAGCTGCAGCCTAGAATTACTACCACCAGTGCTTGCAATGTCCCCCTCCGTGGCAAATATAACGTGTATTTTCTTTTTTAAATAAAAAAAAAATCAATATATATGCTTCCAGTCCCATCCCACTTCCCACAACCACAGTATAGGCCTTACACCACCCAACACAGTCACACATAATACCCCTACAGATACTAGATCCACTAAAGACAATAAATCCGTCCCTAATGACTTGAATCACCAAACAATATAAACACTTGCTTCAAAGATTCATGCAAACAGATATTATAGAGGCTGTCACATCTTAGTATTTATTAAAAGATATTATCTTTATTAAATACAGATGCTGACTGTGTTGGGATTTATTCAAAATTCCCCCAAAAATCCAAATATACCATAAGACAAATTTGTTTTCCAAGTTTGGCCTTTAATATTTTGGGCTAAACTATTAAAATGATTTAATATATCATATACTGATATTTTGAAATATAAATATTTATAAAAATATATAATATTTATATAAAATTTTTTAAAGGTTAGACAAAATATTACATTGAGGCCTTTATGAGAGCCGAGAGTGGATCTTCTGAATATGCATGAAGCTCTTTAATGAATAGGACAATGAAAAATGGTATTCGTGGATTACTACCCTGTGGAGGCAAAAAGACTATAGAGACACCTCAGAAGTAGTAGTGGAGGAGATTAGGGTCACTGTGACCGAATATTTGTCAACACACAGCTCAGAAGAAAGGGGTAGAGGAGACCACAAGCCAGTCAGTCATAACCTCTATGCATAATAAATCAGGTCTAATTTTGTTATGTTAGGATATTCATGAACATCTACAGTTATCAGTTCTTACACCACAAAAAATAGATACATTTGGGAAGAGACAGAAGCCTAAACAGACATCCCAAATGGAGGGGATTAAAACTAAAAACACATGCAAACTGGAGGTTGCTTACTTCAAAAAAAAAAAAAATTATATATATATATATATATATATATATATATATATATATATATATATATATATATATATATATATATATATATATATATATATGAGAAATTACATTTCTCTTGATGTTTAAAGGGACACTCCAGGCACGAAGACCACTTTTGAACATTGGAGTGGTCTGGGTGCCAACTCCCACTACCCTTAACCCTGCAACTGTAATTATTGCAGTTTTCATAAACTGCAATAATTACCTTGCAGGGTTAAGTCCTTCCCTAGTGGCTGTCTACTAGACAGCCACTTGAGGGCACTTCCGGGATCATAGCACAGATTATCTGTGCTATAGCGTTGCTGGACGTCCTCTCACTGTGTGAGGACCTCCAGCCTCGCTAAAATCTCCATAGGAAAGCATTGAAAAGCATTTTCAATGCTTTCCTATTGAGAGGTCTAATGTGCATGCACGGCATTGCCGCGCATGCACATTAGGTCTCCCCAGCCGGCGGGATCAGCCTCCACCGCCAGCTGACGTAATGAAGAGGAGGAGCGGCGGCGGAGGAGGCAGGGAGCAGCAACCGGGGATGGGAGGTGACCTGCAGTGCCATCAAAACGGATTGCTTTCCTGGCACTGGAGAGTCCCTTTAAGTATTAAAGTGACACTTTAGGCACCCAGACCATTTCAACTCAACTGAAGTTGGCTGGGTGCAGTATCCCAGGTCTATTAACCGTGCAAAGGTGATTATTGCAGTTTTTAATAAACTGCAATAATTACATTTGAGGGTTAACTCCACCTCTATCAGCGGTCTGCCAGACAGCCACTAGAGGGACTTCCGGGTGGATTTTGGTCACCTGACGCCGGACGTCCTCACGCTATGCATGAGGACATTCAGCGTCCCCTAAAACACCATTGAAGAGGATTATACAATACTTTCCTAAGGGGGGAGTCCTAATGCAAGCATGTCTGTGGAGCAGAGGCAGAGCCTTAATCAGCGCCAAGGGACATCGGCACTGGAATCAGGTAAGTGACAGAAGGGATTTTTAACCCCTTCTGCACCAACACAGGGGGCACAATAGGGAGCTAGACTGCCAAGTTATAAAAAGGTTTTGCATGAGTTCTGTGAAAAGGAGGAAGAGAGTTTCACTTTTCTTTCAGTCCTCTCATTCCTATATGGATTGGTAGGACTTATGGACATCTTACTAACAACAGCTCCCTTTATAAAGGAAAAAAAACACAAGACAAATAAAAAGAGAAGGCAGCACAGTCTATTTACAAAAAGTGATCGAAAATTAGTTTACCTTAAGAACTTTAGATTATCCTGTTAAACTAGTGAAACCAATCATCAGCTTACCTATTGCTAAAAACACTAAACAAACAACTGTGTAATTTCAATAACGAAAGTGTTATTCAATGTGTTTACTATCACAGCACTAAGTACACTTTACCAAAGAGTAAAAGCTGGCAAATAAAAAAAATTAAAAAAAGTTTCACAATTCTGTGGGAACACATGCAGACAGGTTCAATAAACAGCTATGGTTGGTGTATTTATTCTATCAACTTGGATTAAAATGTATCAAATAAAAGGAATTATTGTATATCCTTTCCAACTCAGTGTCACTTAAAGGACCACTATAGTGCCAAACTCATTTTCCTGGCACTATAGTATTAATAGCTCCCACGGCTCCCCTCCCGCCACGGGAGGAAGGGGTTAATCACTTACCTTAATAATAATACCTTTCTCCAGCGCCGGGCTTCATTAAGATGAAGTGGTCTGGGTGCCTACAGTGGTCCTTTAACCCCTTAAGGACACATGACATGTGTGACATGTCATGATTGCCTTTTATTCTAGAAGTTTGGTCCTTAAGGGGTTAAAAGAACACTTCAAGCACCATAACTGCCCATTTTAGTGGTTCTTGTGCAGGAAGCACTGTTTCCATCACACTGTAAGTAGTGAAACCATTGTATAGATTTCTACATCTCAAAAATGAGGGCTAACCCATGACATTCTGACTGTTAAGACACTATTAAATTACAATATTGAATAAACTATTGAAAATCACCTTTAACTTATGTTAATCATGGTTTCATGTGACACTGTTTTCATTTAAAAAGGTATGACATATTTAGTGAATGAAATCACAATCCAGTTCACTATGTGCACAGCCATGACACAGAATGCAAATGAGGATTACAAAAACATTGGTTGGTTATGTATTAAAAAGTGTTCGTTTTGAAAAATGGTGCAAACATTAAAAAGGGGAAGAATTACCAATGACTGCCCAACTTTTACTACTTTAAAACACTTTTCAGAAACCAACATTGTTTGTCCTCTTCCATTGTGTTCAATGGCCAACAGAGACAACATATATAATGGGTGACAGCAAGTCAAGATGGAGGTGTTTGTAAATCCACAAATCTGTCATGTTACAAAACACATTCGTTAAATATAGGGGATAAGTAAATGTTACATTAAAATCTCTAGGAAGTAACAGTTACCCATTAAATAAATTACAAATTCAAGATCAGAATAAACACATTGAAATTCACTTTTTGGGCCTAAAATTGCAGATCCTTTGGCAATTCTTACTTAGTGAATAGACCAGTATCATGGGTTTTGTAGTCCACACAGTTAGAGTTAAAGAGAAACTATAGTGCCAGGATAGTTATTTTCCGGTCACTATAGCTCCCTATTGCGCCCCCATCTGTTGCGGCCCCTCCACGCCAGTGGTGCAGGAGGGGTTAAAAATCCTGTCACTTACCTGATTCCAGTGCCGACATCCCTCGGGGCTGATTCGGGCTCTGCAGACACGCTTGCATTAGGACTCCCCCCCCCTTAGGCATTGCATAATGGTGTTTTAGGGGATGCTGAAATTCCTCAAGCATAGCGTGAGGACGTCCAGCATCAGTTTGACGACCAAAAGTCGCCTAGCCTCATGGAAGTCCCTCTACTGGCTGTCTGGCAGACAGTCAATAGAGGTGGAGTTAACCCACAAATGTAATTATTGCAGTTTTTATGGACAAGGGACATTGCACCCAGACAACGTCAATGAGTTGAATTGGTCTGGGTGTTTATAGTGTCCCTTTAATGCTTAAACATCAAGAGAAATGCAACTTCAAGAATGGTTTGACTTACAATGGGGGTCGCTCCTAGGACCCGCTGTATTAGTAATGGTTTTTGGGATGTTCCTTTAAGCAAAAATTGGAAACGTTTTCCATGTTTTCAGATTGGATATTTATTTAGTCATTAACTTTTAATTTTACTTTGAATTCCTGACAATTCATTCTTTATAGTGAATAAACCTGTGATTTTCTGTGCACCAGTAAACCATACCAGCTGTTATGTATTCCAATAACCATAGACAGCTGTTGTGGACTACACATCCCATGTTGTACAAACAATTACCCCGGCTGTTGTGGACTACACATCTCATGTTGCACAGCAGGGGTGCCAAGGGTAGATGTCCAGATGTTGTAAAACTACAACTGCCATGATGCTTTGTATGTCTTTAGAATGGCAAAGCATCATGGAAGCTGTAGTTTTAAAAAACATCTGGGCATCTACCTTTTGAGCACCCCCTGTTGTAGAGACATTCACTGCAGCTACTATGGACTACATTTCCCATGCTGCACAGTCACTCCAGCTGTCATGCACAGCATTTCCCATGACATTTTGACATGGACGCCAACTTTTATACATCCCATGTTACTGGGATACTGACTCCAGCTGTTGGGGGACTACACTTCCCATGATGCAGTTTGGTAGCAGGGCTAGCCAGCCATCCTGGGGGGCCATACTGTATGAGGGCTGAGGTGCCAGCAGTTCCCAGACAGCCCTTGTCCAGCCTGGCAGTGCTCTCGGCAGTGCTGTCAGGGAGGGGGATGGGACAGCCAGACGGTGATGGCGGCGGCTGTTATTACGCAGCACTGGTTCCCGCGGCTCCCTTCCTGCGGTACACACCCGATACCCGGCCCCCCAGCCGCAGTCACCCCGAGCCGGCCCCCCCAGTGAGCTCTGTGCCGGGGGCCGCCGGGTGCCTCCATTACTTACTGACAGCATCCGAGTGCATTTTCGTGTGACGCAGCCAGCCAGGCACTGCCAGCCCGGTCCGCCCGCTACAGCTCTCACACCGCACTCACTGCACAGGGCACCCGGAGCCGCCACGCCCACTGCGCGCAAACATTCGCCCTCTAGCGCCCTAACACCGCCCATCACGCTCACCGATTGGCTCATCCGCCGGCGGGCGGGGCCAGGGCGGGGAAGAAGCTTGCGGGAGAAAGGGGCGGGCGAGATGATCGAAAGTGGGAGGGGCGAATCGTTAGTGACTAGCTCCGCCCAACCGCCCCATCCGAGCTCCCTTTACTCACCGCGCTCGGGGATACTTGGCGTGGATGCCTATTGGTCACGCACGATGCTGGAAGATGCTCATTGGTCAGTTGATCCTTGTGGGAGCACGCGCTCAGGCTCTCCTTTAAAAAAAAAAAAAAAAATTTAAAATAATGACGTCATAGCTAGACTTAAAAATTCTGGGCTAAAACAGGTTACAGTGGACAACGCATCTCCAGCACTTTGACATAACATGTTATATTTACTGGCAAATTTCCAGTTTGTTCAATAACCCAAAATGTCATTTTTTATTTTTTTTTGTCTTAACCCCTTAAGGACACATGATATGTGTGACATGTCATGCTTCCCTTTTATTCCAGAAGTTTGGTCCTTAAGGGGTTAAAGGGTTGTTCCAAGACCATCACCACTTCAGTGATTTGAAGTGCTTATAGTGTCTCTAGAATCTGTATGCGCGGCATTTTCTATATCAAAAGCTCAACATACAGAGTTAACGCCGCCAACGGCTGAATCATTGGCCATGTGAATTCTATGTGAAATTGGTGTCTGACGCCAACACGCTCAGTATGCTGGCGCCATACAGCCAATGGCATCAACCCTACCCACAGGCTGTCTATGTTCCGCTTAGTCCACGTTCCCTGACATCCGTTGACATCCGGCGGCATGAAGTGACATCGGCCATGGAAGATCTGGCTGCAGTGAGAACTTGGCCTTAACTCTGGAACAGAGATACGTTTTAGTTATTTTCTTTCTATTTCTTACATGGGTAACCCTGTTTTTGGTTGGGGTAACCCTTTAAAATGTGCTAGTCCATTCGCTGTTTTATCACTAACAAGGGAATACACCTTTTCATTTTAACTTTGCCATATCTGATCTAAAGTTGGGAGCTTTAACCCCTTAAGGACACATGACATGTGTGACATGTCATAATTCCCTTTTATTCCAGAAGTTTGGTCCTTAAGGGGTTAAAGGGACACTATAGTCACCAAAACTACTTTAGCTTAATGAAGCAGTTTTGGTGTAGAGATTATGCTTCTGAAGTTTCACTGCTCAATTCACTGCCATTTAGGAGTTAAAATCACTTTTGTTTCTGTTTATGCAGTCCTAGCCACACCTCCCTTGGCTGTGACTGACACAGCTTGCATTAAAATAAATGGTTTCACTTCCAATCAGATGTAACTTAGTTTAAAGGTTTTTCTCTCCTGCTCTGTAAATTGAACTTTAATTACATACCGGAGGATCATGAAGGTTCTAGCAAGCTATTAACAGTGCAGGAGATAAGACATTCTTAATTAAACAGAATTTGCAGTAAAGGAAGTGTAAACATTAGAGGACTCTTTCCAGGAAGTGTTGGAAGGCTGTGTAAGTCCTATTCGGCTGTTTACAGCATTCGTATGGTTTTCTGTTCGGCGGATTGGTGTTCTGCAGTCGCTGTGCCTGCATATCTGGAAGGGGAAGATCTTCTAAACGGCGTTTTAACCCTTTTATGCCGAGGGTGCCGTTACAATTGGTGGTAGCGGTGGGATCGTTCCTACAGCCAGAAGGACAGCTAGAGGAGACACCATTTCTTTGGATTTACAAGTGGGGGCAACACATGTCCCAGTACAACGACTCTAAAAGCAACAGAATGGAACCAGCAGTGTTATACGAGGAGGAGGACCTGGATCGCCGGGATGCATTAAGGCAAAGCATCTGGTACCAGGCCCTGGATAATGAACAATACCAGCGGGGTTAGAGTCTCCCCAGTGAAGAGCAGCGGTTGCAGAAGCAAGTGGCCCTGCGGATGCCCTTCCTGGGAGAGCAGCCCCTGGAGGAATGGGTGAAGGAATTGGAGCTCCGAGTATGGCAGGAGATTTGGCTGGAAGATGCCTACCAGGCGCTCTGGTGGTATGGGGCACAGTACTTGCCCTGGACAGCCGAGCATGACAAGCCAGAGGGAGAGGAGTTTGATGGTCCTGGCTTGTTATGGGAGGCTTTTGCAGAGCCTGAGTTTGGGAGCCCTACACAAGCCCGGTTCGGTGATCTCTTGGAGTGGAGGGAGAGCAGGTATGACTGGGACGACACTCACGAAATTGAGCAAGACCTGGCTCACCTAGCAACCCGGGAGTGTGAACTGGAGCAGGACTACCGAGATCTCTTCCACTCCATTGAGAAGATTCAGCAGGACAGCAAGGTGATAGATCCAGTTCCAGACCCATTCAGCTGGGAAGATATTGTTGAGATTTACTGGGAGGAACCCCAGGCGGCAGGTGGAGATGGGACCGAGGTCTCTCCACCGGTATTGCAGGGAATTGGGAGCCCAAGCTCCATTCCCCAGCGGGAGATATTGCAGGGAATTGGGAGCCCAAGCTCCATTCCCCAGCGGCAGGCTGAGTTACAGGGGGCAGAGACAAGCGGTCCTGTCCCCCAGCAGCAGTGTACCTTGCAGGGAGAGGAGAGCAGCGTCCTCCCTTCCCAGCGGCAAGGTGAGCTACAGGGATGCTGGGCGGTCGGCTCAGATCCCCAGCGGCAGTGTGATATACAGGGAATTGGGAGCCCAGTCTCCATTCCCCAGCGGCAGGCTGAGTTACAGGGGGTAGAGACAAGTGGTCCTGTCCCCCAGCAGCAGTGTACCTTGCAGGGAGAGGAGAGCAGCGTCCTCCCTCCCCAGTGGCAGGGTGAGCTACAAGGATGCTGGGCAGTCGGCTCAGATCCCCAGCGGCTGTGTGATATGCAGGGAATTGGGAGCCTAGTCTCCATTCTCCAGCGGGAGATATTGCAGGGAATTGGGAGCCCAGTCTCCATTCCCCAGCGGGAGATATTGCAGGGAATTGGGAGCCCAGTCTCCATTCCCCAGCGGCAGAGTGTCCTACCGGGAATAGAGAGCCCAGTCTCCTTTCCCCAGCAGCGGGACTCTGTATTGGGAGCAGAGACAGTCGGTCTCCCTCCCCCGCGGCTGGAAGTATGTATGGGAGAGGAGCTGGTTACCCCCTCTCCCCAGCGGCAGCTTAATGTACCAGGGGGAGACAGTAAGCCCCACAACTGTGCAGATGGGACCGTGGTCTCTGCACATACAGAACAGGGGGTAGGGACGATCGGTCCTGCCCCCCAGCGACAGGGCTGTTTAGCCAAAGGGGAGACAGTCGGTCTCCAGCAGCAGGGCTGTGTGTCTAAAGGGGAGACAGTCGGTCTCCCCCTCCAACAACCAGGCTTCAACCAAGCTACCATCCCAGTAGCGCTGGCACCAGGGCAGAGTACCTCTGGTCTCTGCCCACTCAGCAACCCACCAAGTCAGCATACCCGTACCCAGCACAGCCGTGGTGAGACACCTGGACATGGACAAGCTTCTCCTCTACCCAGGTGTAGTAACCATTTATTGTGGGTGGGCTGTGCTGTTGATTGTGTTTTGTGGGTGGGCTGCTGGACTAACAAGGGCACTGACCGGCAGGAGGTCAGATACCCTGTTAGTCTGTTTGGAAAAGGGGAGAGATGTGACGAGAGCAATCTCGCCACATTGCATTGGAGAAGCCTGGTTGCTCGCCTGTTGCCTTTGGATTATGGCCCCATGTTAAAAGGCTTGATTTTCCCTGCAAAGACAAGAAAGCCGGGTCATTTGGTGCTTGCCCTGTTTGAGCAGTGATACCCCAGATAGCTATGCCATGGAGCCCATTCGTATAATGAAAGACTATGGGAAAGACTTTGGCTCCATGGCAATTGAACTGTATGTGTGTGCTCTGAGCGCCATTCAGTAATAATGTGCGCTAAGACCTAAGCTATCTGGGCATATGTTGCATGTCTGTATTTTATGTCATAAATGTAGCCTTGTGTATTTTATTGTATTTTACTGTCTTTTTGCTGCCTTGTGTTCAATGGAGTTTTGCCTCTGTCCTTGGAGATAATTGGATTACTTCTAATTATCTCCAGGATAAAAGACTCTGTGGAACTGGTTTTGGGCAGAAAAGCCATGCTTCCTGTGGTCACAAAGGACTACGATCTATCTTTTGAACCACTTGACCAATTTGTATGATTTTGATGTATGTTTGTATTTGGAGTATGCTGATTCTGAAAGTTTTATGTGAATTTGATGCATACTTTTCAAGTTATGAATAATGTGGAAAAATTGTATTTCTCTGCTTGTGCTAATTAAATTACCCATTGTGTAAGTTAATTGTATCACAGGCAGAAGGGAGGATTTTGTGTGGGAGTGTCTGAATGTATTGTATGTGTTTATTAGTTGTGTTCCAAAACCCTGTGGGTGGTACTAATGTGTACATAAGAACAATAAACCCACAGCTCTGTCTGTTCACTGCTTGACCCACAACACGGAGCTTTGTCTCGTTCTTGGGGGGATTTATTGTATGCTGTTCCAGTTCGACTGCTAGGAGTGTAAACCTATTCGTATGGTTTTTCCTATTCGGCTGTTTACAGCATTCGTATGGTTTCCTGTTCGGCGGATTGGTGTTCTGCAGTAGCTGTGCCTGCATATCTGGAAGGGGAAGATCTTCTAAACGGCGTTTTAACCCTTTTATGCTGAGGGTGCCGTCACAGCCGGCAAGATATCTCTCATCCCTGAGTGCCGATTGGTGCCAGGTAGGGGATGACGGACAGGAACACCCAGTGGCCTACCTCAGCCGCAAGTTACTTCCCCGAGAGGTCAGTTACGCCACCGTGGAAAAAGAGTACCTTCCATGGTCTGGGCTCTCAAAAAACTGCAGCCTTACCTATACGGCCGGTTCTTCACCCTGATGACGGACCATAACCCTCCAGTCTGGCTGAACCGCGTAGCTGGCCTTATAACCATATAACTTTACAATGCAATACCGGCCAGGCAAGCAGAACAACAATGCCGACAGACTCTCTTGCCAGTTGGAACTGGAACCTTAATTGACCCCGTCCTCTCGGACATCTCTACGCCGACCTGTAGAGGTCTGGCAGGGTATGCCGAACCAAGGAACTGGGGGTAAGCCATGTAACAAACTGTGTTCCTAGTCCCGCAATAAACCTACACTATGTCCCCAAACGGCTAGATTCCTCACGTTCTCTCCATCCCTTCTATCCCTTTGTTCTAGCCCCCTTGCTTTCCTGCCTGAAGAGCGCTCTCTCTGGTGCTACCTAAGAGAGAGACGCAAGCTCTAGCCAACCCTCTGGAGCTGTGAGTCGGCTTCACAGTCGCAGAGTTCTGCTGGCTGCCTGGAAGTACGTGACGGCCAATCGGAGAAGGGCTATCATTCAAACTGGTTTTGCGCCCTTTCTCTCGATTGGCCGGTGAAACACCTCCCTTCCCTGAGCACTGATTGGTGCAAGTTGATTTCATGCCCTTTCTCCCGATTGGCAGGCGAGACACCTCTCCTCCCTGTGTGCTGATTGATGCCAATTGGTTCGCGCCCTTTCTCCTGTTTGGCTGCTGCACAACTAGCAGAAACCAAATGATTCTGTGGAGCTATTTTCGGGTACGTACGGAGCCTCAAGCCCAGACTTTATACAACGATTTCTCAGGCTCTGTAGCTCTGCAATTTGCAGGGATCAAAGTTGGCACCAGGAGCTATTTGGGGATGTATGGTATGTGGGGAATGCGTTACTGTATGGTGTGTATTTTTGGGTTTTTTGTGTGTTCAGGAGATACCATTATCGTCCAGACATGGCGACAGCCTTCAATAAAAACATTCTTGTTGTACACTTCATCAAGTCTAGCAGCAGACCCTCCCTCCCAGACCCTCCCACCTCCTGGACAGCATCCATTGTGAAGCTGCATTCTTAGTGAGCTGTCCAGGAGGTGGGAGGGTCTGGGAGGGAGGGTCTGCTGCTGATTGGCTGGAATGTGTCTGCTGACTGTGAGGTACAGGGTCAAAGTTTACTCAATGATGAGTCCGCGGCGAACCGTTCGTGGCGAACCGTGGCGAACCATTCGCGAACCGTTCAGCGAACAGTTCGGGACATCACTAGTCAGATAGTAATTGCAATGGTGAAGTATAACCCCTAAGTAGTCAAACCACTCACATGTAGTGAAGCCTATGTAAATTGGCTCCGTAAAGATTGCAGTTATGCTCTTAGGGCAGCATCACGCCTCTCCTTCAATAAGCGGCATTTTCCCAAGAAAGAAAGAAGAACAGAACCGCCAGTGTGTAAAATCATCAATATAAAATCAATCGATATAATATAAAGGTAGGTATTGAGCTCACCTTTTTGAGCCTAACTCCTGGCTCTGAGGTATGTAGGTATAGTGCCACTATAAAGGGGATGGCACTTCACCCAGTGAAGGTTCTTGAGGCTGTAGAGGACTCTTTAAAATACTATAGTAATTTATTAACAAAAATATTAAAAAAATCACCAATGAAAAGAAAAACAAAATAATAGTAAAGTACTCTCCACATAAGTATAAAAAAGTCCTTGTCAGCCAAAACCCATTTCGCTCTTCCTAAGCTTCTTCAGTTAGCTGTTTAAATATTTTTGTTGCTTTTGTGTCCTGTGTGGTTTTTTAGGGATCCCAGTCACAGTCTTCAAACTTGTTTGCTGGCTGAAGGATCCCTTTAAGCTCTGGGGTAGGTTGAGAGAACTAGGCCTGAGACCTGCAAGTGTTTTTTTAAAGCAATAGCAAGCATAATAAGCAGAGGGGACGATACCTGCCTGAAGTAAAGCTGCAGAGGAATAGGCAAAGGGGATGATACCTGCCTGGAAGAAGGGCTGCAGTGGAATAGGCAGAGGGGACGATACCTGGTCGGGTGGAACAGCTCCAGAAGGATCCCAGTCAAGCTGCGGCGACTGAGGCAGAAGTGCTTCAGGTTTCCTAGTTCCAGCTAGGAAGCGAGCTTGGCAGAGGTACCCAGCCATGGTACAGGGAGCTCTGTCACACCGCTGATCCCACGCCGGCGGTCACGATCCTGGAGACTGCCTGAGAGCCCAGGCAGTCCCCCTCAGGCCAATCTGGAGGTTCTTGCGATCACATGCCAGAATAGCTGGCTCATGCAGTGCCAGCAGAGGGAGTGCCTGAACTCTTAGGCAGTCCCCCTAATGCCTGCACAAAAGTTTTACAAAGTTTGTAAAACTTCAATGACATTTTATAATATATATATAAAATCTAAGTACTTTTATACGCACATACACACACATGCACTATCATTCGATAATATTAAAATACACTTAGAATGACGTAATATATATATATATATATGTTTATTGTGACGTACCCTCCGGTCAAGTTGGGTACATTTCTCCCCGACCATCTAACTTCTCCAAAGATACTATATCACTATGTACTAACTCTTCAGCCTATGTCTCCCTGTCCAGCATTCCTTCCTGGCTATCCAGAACTGCCCATCTTTCACCAACGGGAGCGCTGAGACATGGTGCGCATGACTGGGAGCGACTTTAAATTACCCTGGAACTCTGAAGTGGATATCAGAGTCGCCGCAGTCCTCTAAAACTTTGTTCAGAGCACTTTCAGTCCCAGGACTCTCAATCAAGGTGCTCTTTGGAGGGTTAATAGAGGAGGTTGAGAGGCATCGAACGACACCAACGACTTGTGGGAGCTCCATGTACTCAAAGAAAGCGCAGTGATTTATGGTGACCGGGAAACTCTAACAAGCACTCTGGAGCCCTGCATTGGATCTGTAACTAGCCATGTTCCACTGAAACTTTCTACTTCCACCTAATTCGGGTTCACCATATCCGATCCAGGCACTTTTTGGACAGAATGGGCATTTCAGAGAGACCTTTCCAGGGATGTATGGCATGTGGGGGTGCTTCACTGTTTTGTATATGTTTTTAGGGTTTTTTCACATGTTGGGTTTTCTGTGTCCAATTAGTCTTACTAAGAGCTGCCTGGGTAGTTTATGTTGTATATACTGGAGACCCCATGCTGGGGGTCTGTGTATAAATTTAGTGTGCCTTGACCTAATCAGTACTTCTTCATCAGGGCTGGCCAAAGATATTGTACTGCCTGGGTCCAAGAATTAAATGTTGCCCGCCTCCAAAAAAACCAAAACACGCCCACATCTATTATGTTAGATCATAATAATGAAAACTAAAATTAAACTCAATAATGAGCTGATTCACTCTATGTGGATGGCAAGTCAAGTGCTTCCATGTGGAAACTGTACTTGTTATATGTATGTTTTAAAGCCCATGGTGGCCAAATGTCAATATGGCAAAGCATCAGGGAGGCTGTAGTTCCACAATATGTGGCTTCCTTGGTTTAAAGGGTTACCAGAACCATTACATCTTAATGTAGTGGTTCTGTTGTCTATAGCCTGTCTTTTCAGAGAAAAGGCAATGTTTATATTACTACCTAGTAACACCTCTAGTGGCAGTCACTCAGACAGCATCACCTACATTCAGTGTCTCTATGCTCTGCATGAAGACTCTGTATGTTCCCCATAGAGAAGCAAGATTGATGATCTCAGCCATGGAGGCGGAGCCAGTAACGACAAGACCGGCACTGCCTGGGAAAGAAAGGTGTTCATAATCACCTTTCCAATGCGATCGGAGTCACCTAAACAGAGACACTCACAGACAGACACACACACGGTGACAATCCAGGCACTCCAAAAATCTTCCAAGAGTAGGCAATTTTATTGGACCCAAGAACCAAAATATTTTGGTTCTTGGGTCCAATAAAATTGCATACTCTTGGAAGACTTTTGGAGTTCCTGGATTACTTTTCACATTTAAATTCTACATTTGGTCCTTTTTGGTACTGGGACCTATCCGGTTAGCACCCAAGGATTCCTGCGAGGGTTGAGTGCAGTTCCACAACCATTATACACACACGGTGACAGACAGAATGTCAGGGTATTTCCACTGGTAGACATTTTGTGTTAAAATAGAAATTAAAAAATGTATACTATAAGTCACCATTAAAACAGAGGTGACTCCATTTTGTAACAGAATACAAAAAGACAGACACATTTTTTTTTTCTTTCTATGACTCTATTCATTAGCAAAGGAATGCGACTAGCGTAAACATGAAGCAGAGATAAGAACATGACGAGAGATATGTCTGCAGCAAGGGGGCTAGAAAAACAGCCCACAAAAAAACCCACACACAGTTATATATATATATATATATATATATACACAGATTATATATATATATATATATATATATATATATATATATATATATATATATATATATATATATATATATATATCCACATATAAACTAACTACAATTATGTAAACTACTATGTTAATACTATTGAATATTCATTGCATTCACAATTCATGGGATATATCTTCAAACCTAAAATAAATTCTGCAAGAAAGCTGGTAAATATGCTGGTTCTATTTAATTTAATTTTAATTAATACATTTTTACTAAAAGCAGAAATATACCTGGATAAAGGTTGGTCAGATTTCAATTATTATGAAATCATAAATAGCTAATGAAATATACTGTTCCAAATTCTTAACTGCAGAAAGAATAAGGGAATAATATATTTACTAGTAAATTGCCAAGTTTAGCATACCAAGCTTTTACCCAGAGATATTGACCTATCTGCATTTAGGGATAATAATCTTTAATTTATTTACGATTGTCGATTCGGCTGTATTACATGGATCGGAGTGCTATTTGGACAACCTGGGAGCTTAGATCCTGGCTATCCATGGATGTAATACTTGTGGGGGTTCCTATCTGTCTTATATGTATTTTGGAGTGTTTTATGTGTAATATATTGTACCTCTAGTGCCTGGGTGATAATTAGTTTAGGCAAACTCACTTATCTCCCAGACACAGATCTACCTGGGCAAGGGAACAGCCAAAGCAGGTATGTGCATAGATCAACGCGTTTTCACTTCTGAAACTTTATCAAGCCAACTATATGCTACACACCCAGGGTTTAAATACCCTCTCTAATCAAGGTCAGAGAACAGGCACTGAAACCCGGACTGGATTTTCATGCATAATATTCACAAAAACCTACATATCACCACAAACATGAATATTACAAATAGATAAAATAAATGAGGTAATAATAATGATTATATCTATACTAAAATTAATCCATATATATATATCTTTAAGAATGCATATAACCTATAAATAGGCAATTACAGATTTCTGGGTGTCAACGGAGCACTACCAAAATATCTCTGTTAGGCACCAAGTGCTATAATAATAATGCTTAAACTACAAGTCTCCTGTGTATATATTAAAAAGGCAAAACAATTGTATAAGAAAGGCAGAAAACAATAAAAAATATATAATAAACCTAATAAAGAAAAATAAACATAAATATAAAACACATATGGTGGTATCCCCATAATACAGGTGGGGAACCTTAAAGAGTAATTACTTTTAACAAACGTAAGATCCCCGATCCATAGAACCTAACTGAGATCCGGTCTATGAAAAGCAAATAGAGGAAGGGTGGCAAAACATTCATATATTCAGTATGTATCTTACAAATAGAATAGGGACACAACACCTCTCAAAAAATATTAAATCAAATAGAAAATATTATATGAAACAAATAAAAAACACAACAAAACTTCTAGTACCTTCAACAGTAGTTCTCTATGTGGTCCATCAATAAGATTGAAAATGGTGACCACATCTAGAATCCTTAAGAAAATAGCTTGAACTCCTCATTTAGACCGTTAGGTGCTAAAGAATCCAGTCTGAAAATCCATAGGTATTCAGCCCTAGTGAGATCTCTTTTCCTAGTGGCTATATCCCTTGTAGGAGGTACATGATCAATCCCCATCAGTTTAATTAGAGTGGGGACACTGTTATGGAACATTTCAAAGTGACGTGCAACTGGAGATCTAGTGTCCCTATTCAGTATGGCCAATCTGTGTTCCCTTAATCTAAATTTAA